CTCTGCCCCAGAAGACCTCCCCCCTTGCCCTCCCCCACAGCCTATGCCTGCAGGGTCACTACCATTGATGAGAACAACCGTGAACTGTGTCAAGACAGTTGTTGTTGTTACCCTTCCTGAAATATGGAGCCCACACTGAAATCTCGTGAGAGCCAGGACATTCCCTAGGTCCTTGGCCTTCGAGGGAGTCAAGGCCAAGACATCTTAATGGAGAAGCCAGATTTAGAGGTCCACATGGAATCCTAGGTTGGGACTCTTGTACCAAAATTCACAAGCCTTGGAAGAAAACACTGACTGACTGGACTATGTAAAAGAAGAAAAAGAAGTATCCGGGATGTGGCTCACTGATGTGTCTCTTCCCTGGCATGTCAAAGCTCTGGATTCAATCCCCAGCACTGGAATAAAAAATGGTCTTTTTTGCTGTGGAAAAGAATGATTTTACATTCAGAGATAACAAAACAACTACCACATTAAGAAAAACAAAACCAGGGTTGGGGATTTAGCTCATCGGTAGAGTACTTGCCTAGCAAGCGCAAGGCCCTGGGTTCAGTCCTCAGCTCCGAAAAACAAAACAAAAGAAAAACAAAATCTAGGGATGGAGAGATGGTTTACTGGTTAAGAGGACTTACTATTCTTGCTGAGGAGCTGGGTTCTGTTCCCAGCTCTCACATCTGATGACCCTAGAGCTTCCCAAGGACACCTGAATGCACATGGTACACATAAACTCATGCAAACACACACATACACCTGTAAATAAATCTTTAAGATACTAGAGTACTTGCTTAGGAGGTAAGCACACTGGCTGCTCTTCCAGAGGGCCAGGGTTCTGCTCCCAACATCCACATGGTGGCTCTCAACCTCCCGTAACGCTAGTCCCAGGAAATCAGACTCCCTCTTCTAGCCTCTATAGTCACTGCATGCAGGTGGTATTACATACACACATGCAGGCAAAACACCTACACACGTGAAAATAAATCCTCAAAAAAACTAAGTAGAAACTACCTGAGATGTAAATCCCCTTTAAGGGGTTGGTAACCATGCACAAATGTGCTAACCTGCTGCAATGGTCAGACTGAATTATATACAAGCCTGTGTCTCCTGTTCCTGAAATCGGCACAATTGCACAGCCCTTGACAGACCTAACGAGCAATCACAACAGACCCTGCTAACCACCATGACCTCACCCCTTCCTACTCCCATGGAAGCAACCGGGGCCATGACTGGAGTTCAGTTAGCAAATACTTTTTAGTATTTTAACCTCACCATACAGTGAATTAGAACTACCTACACAATTCCAGGGCTACAGGCAGAGTGGATTGTCACCAAGGCAACAGACCACATAGAACAGTAAAACATAGGTGACTGTGACAAGGTGGGGGCAGGGATTGAGGAAATAAGTAAAACCTGCCTTAAGACCACAGGGGAAATGCCTGTGTGTTTCTGTGAGTACCGGAAACTCTGTTATCTAGGTAAATCAAATCCTTCAATACCAATTTCATTCATGGACGATACATTTCCATTAAGATGGTGTGATTAGTGAAATGTTAAGGGTGATACTCTTTAGTTTCCAAACTGGAGGACTCTTGTGTTCCTGACACAGGCCCTGGATGACACTACCACCACTCCAAGAGTTTCCTTTCTTCCTTTCTTCCTTTTTAAAATGAACCTGTGCAATCATGAGAACTTGATTGTTTTTTTTATTTATTTTTATTTTTTCCTTTTAGATTTATTTATTACGAATACAGTGTTCTGCTTATATGTATGTCTGCAGGCCAGAGGAGGGCGCCAGATGTCATTACAGATGGTTGTAAGCCACCACGTGGTTGCTGGGAATTGAACTCAGGACCTCTGGAAGAGCAGTCAGTGCTCTTAACCTCTGAGCCATCTCTCCAGCCCCCTAAGTTTTTGAATGAACTAAATAAACCACCATGGGAGGGCACCAGCCTAAACAGGCATTCAGAACCCAGTGCCCAGGGTTTTCTTGTTCTTTTGTTGGGTAGTAAGAGCCAGCTCTGTCCTGTAGGGGAAATACGACTGACTGGGTTGTGATGTAGACCTATGATGGCTTCGCTGAGATGAAAGTTCCTCCAGAGAGCCTACCTTTGAGTGTCCAGCCGGTTGGTTTTTTGGTTTTTTTTTTTTTTTTTCATGGTAGTAACTTTTAATTGGCTAGAGTCAGTTGGGGGTTACCTTTGTCCATTTTTGGGCAGGCCTGGACAAGTCCTAGGCTTTGTCCTTGAGCTGCCATGGAGGCTGGCTGGCCTAGGACATACTTACTGACTGTGGGGGATGGCTCAGTGGTTTTTTGTTTGTTTGTTTTTTATGAGAGTGTTGTGACTCTGTGGAGAGATCTAATGTTACAAAGAAGTCTATAGCCAGGCAGTGGGGGTGTACACCTTTAATCTCGGCACTCAGGAGACAGAGACAGGAGGATGTCTGTGAGTTCAAACTTGGTCTACAAAGCAAGTTCCAGGACAGCCAGGACTACATCCTGTCTCAAAAAACCAAAATAGAAAAGAAGAAAAAGAGGAGGATGAAGAAAAGAGAAGAAGGAGAAAAAGAAGGAGGAGGAGGAAGAGAACAAACAGGAGGAGGAGGAGGAGGAAGAGGAGGAGGAGGAGGAGGAGGAGGAGGAGGAGGAGGAGGAGGAAGAGGAGGAGGAGGAGGAGGAAGAGGAGAAATGATGTAGTAGTAGTAGTAGTCTGGGTTGTCCAGGACTATTTCTGCTCCTCTGACAGGCAGTTACACCAGCCTCTAGGTTGAACACAGGGTCTCTCTGACTGCTACATGAAATCTTGTTGAGTGTAGGAGACTCAAGGAACCTCAGGTCTCTAAATCTTCAGTCTGGAATGAAGCGCCTAAATCCTCTGCGGATCCCAGCTTTAGTTTGTTGCCTACCTGATAGTGCCTGCCCTTTACCCACCCCTCCATCACCCACCCCTACCCCCCCACCCCCGTCCCTGGACCCTGTGGGAGGCCATTTTCCTAGTGGCTTTACCCAGCAGGTCAGAATAGAGTGGATGATTGGACCACGGGCCTGAGTGTAGGTGTTTTGTAACTAGCAAGGGGGAGGTCTTTTGCTCCACCCCTTGGCATTGTTATAAATAGACCTTTGGAATAAAGTCCTGAGCCCGGTTGGATAAAGACCCAGGCCCACCCGAGTCTATCCTGTGTTTCTCTGTTTTCTCTCCCCTCTATTTCTAACTAAGCCTCTTATTCCTCATTCCTCAAGAGTCCCTGAGGTAAATAAGTGTGGGGGCTGGTCCCCCAGAAACCTCTACTGTTCCCCCACACTTCACCTCTCAAGAGGTAGGATTGGAGGACTGTAACATCAAACTCCACTCTCTGCTTCCTTCTTGGGACTGGAACATGTTGTGGGACATTCAATCACACTGTGAACCCCAAGTTTTCATTTGCATTAATTAAATAAAATGAACCTTGGGTCAGGAGGCCGAGTTAGCAACTAGATGACAGAAAGTAATCATAGACAGTCAGAGGGCGTCTGGAGGACGGATAGATAGAGAAATGAACAGGAAGTTTGCAGGGAGGGACTTGAGTGGCATTTTTGTTTTGTGTTCTTTTGGATTTTGACATAATGGAAGGAAGCTCCCTTCCAGAGATACCCAGCAAAGAGGGAATGTCAGCTACTTGCTCCTCAGCTTCTCTGAGATAGCAGGTTTTCACCCCAGCCTCTGACTCCCGAGTCTTATTGACAAGTAGAACAACAGAGATCTAATTAAGAGCTACATTTGGTGGCAGTGACATAGGCCAGGGCTTTGGAAACAGCCGGGCCACTGCCAGAAAACCAGGCCAGTAACTGCAGAGCTGCAATTCCTGTCTGAGACAGTGGTACATTAAAGTGTAGCCTCTGTCCCGACGGAAAACAGCAGGAAAGGTTTCACGCAATCCCCTTAGAGGGAAACACACCTCCCAGAGGTCATGCTGTGGAATGTGTGCTCCCGGGATCTTTGATGTTGGCTCAAAAATTATACCACCTTTTCATTCGGGTATTCTTAACGTTTTAGAACACTGACAAACTCCGAGGTTATCTCTGTGGAAGAAACATCTCTTTCTCTCCTGGGGGCTTGACCTTGGCCCCTAACCTTCTCTTAGAGCAGTCCCAGGTGTTAGCCCTAATACTATGCCACTAACTGCTACATCTGCCTTCTTCCCCCTGCACCAGGCCAGCAGCCTCCCAAATCCTCTCTGATCAGTACCTACACATTACCACATACCTACGCTCTAGTCACCCAACAGATGGTTACCACCACATACAATACACCAAGCACAGAGCAAGGGCAGGCACACTAAGATAAACCCTGGTGAGATTCGTCACTGAGTTCAGAGCACAACGGGGCAGGGTGTCATTGGGAATAGCGATGGATCCTTACTTTCTATAAATACCTGGGATAGAAAGAAGGAGGGTCTGGAGTCCTAGGTGCATGCCCTTAATCCCAGCTCTCAGGAGGCAGAGGCAGGTGAATCCTTGAGTTTGAGGCCACCTTGGTCTACAGAGCAAGTTCCAGGGCAGCCAGGGATACACAGAGAAATCCTGTGGAGGGAGGAAAAAAAAAACTGGTGGGAGAAAGGGGGAAATTATGGGGACTTGGAAAGGGCATGGAGGTTTCTTCCCGGAGTCCAGTTAAAGGTGTTTTTTTTTTTGTTTGTTTGTTTTGTTTTGTTTTGTTTTGTTGCCAGTTTAGAGTCAGTAATTCAAGCATAATCAACAGCAACCCTTGCCTACATGAGACTCTATTCCTACATACAGGTATCACAAATAAGAACATTAAAGTAGCCATGAACCTTCCCCTTTCCCAGAAGGAAAGAACACGTACATTTCACAAGAAAAATCGTACAGTGACAGGCATATCTTAGCCCTTGGGCAACCTTTGTGACCGTTGTTTTCATCTTTTAGATGGTCATCCTATCCAAGCCACCCCACAACCGCTCTGAAAGGAGATGTGCGGTGATCTTGACAAATTTCTTAAACAACATACTTTCAGGAGACAAAAATCACATACACTGCTACTGCTAAGACATGCAGGAAACTATCTTGAGAGACCCACATCACACTTGGGTGTGCGATAACCTTTTCCTGCACGCCTATTAACTCCTGGGCTTAAATCTGTTTAAAATCTTATTCTTCAACCCTGCTCCACTCTACTGTTCCAGATATTCTGATATTCAGTGAGGCCAGGAACGTTTTTATAAGATTCATTTTATGTGTATGGATGTTTTTGCTGCATGTGTACCTCGTGTGAGCCTGTTGTCCACAGATGCGGGAGATGATGTTGAATCCCCTTGGTGGAGCCACGCCCCTCGTCGGGGGGCGGGACATGCAAATCAGATGCGGCCGGCGCGCGCGGGAATGCCGGGAGCGCGGGGGTCGTGGAGTTCGGGGCTGACGCTGTGGGAGGTGAGAGGGCGAGGGAGGGGCCGAGGACGCGGACGCGGACGGGACGCGGGAGGAGGCGCGGGGAAGAGCCGGGAGCGAGGGTTGCGCGCGGTGACCACGAGGTCCTTGTGGGTGGAGGGCGCGGAGCCGGGCTGCGCGCTGGCGGTTGGGTATCGCTTCTCGGCCTTTTGGCTAAGATCAAGTGTAGTATCTGTTCTTATCAGTTTAATATCTGATACGTCCTCTATCCGAGGACACCATATTAAATGGATTTTTGGATTTGGGAGTTGGTCTAGGAGCTTGCTCCGTCCACTCCACGCATCGACCTGGTATTGCAGTGTCTCCGGGAACGGTGCACCCCTCGGGGGACAAGCTCGGTTAAAGAAAAGAGTTTCTTTGTTACTTGACATTTAGTGTGTTACTGGTATGTCATCATACTTCTGAGTGTAATTTTTTTTTTTTTGCGACTCTTGTAGTTTAGGTCTGGTAGTTTAGGTCTTGACAGGGGAAAATCTAGTGTACTCCTCCATTCCCACATTGACTTTTTATACCATGTTAGCAGAGGTTTTCCATTTACTGTCCTACCTTTGTCTTTCTAGCTTCCTTCAGAAATTTCCATGTGTAGCTTTGAAACATCAAGAGCCACATCCATGCTACTAAAAGAACCTCTTCATTAACGAAAAAGATCCTAAGGATTATCTGTGTAGTGTTAGTTGGTTGTGCCTGAGGTTAATAGGTTTGAGGGAAGAAACCAAGGTCATTTACAATGTCGTTTATTTTAATGGTACTTGATTTTTGTGTGTGCCTCTTACTTTGATATACGTGTGGAAACAGAGCTAAGGACTAGGACACATACTTTTCATAGTAGGGTGTCATTCCTAGCACTCACGTTGAAATTGCAATGGGTATTATAAGTTGTGACAAGTACAAGTGCATTCCTGAAGAACCCCATTGACAAGCATGCTGTACAGAGAATAGGTAAGCCATGGTTGTTTTGTTTGTGTCTTTTATTTCCAGGCTCTTCATGTTCCCAAACAAGAATTTCCCTCTCTCCAATGCAAAGCCCAGAAAGCCTGGATGTGATATACAGCACTGGTTTCTGGTTGATTCCTATCAAAAACAAAAACAAACAAACAAACCAACAAAATAATGTGATCGTGCACATCTGCAATTCCTCTGCTCTCCTCCAGGGATGAGTTCATTGGTGGCACTCTCATGAGTCTTGTAGCCTGTCCTGCATGTCTTTTCTGTGAACTCAGAGAACAGCTCCTCCTCCCCAGCAATCCAACCAAAAGGTCTGGGCCTGACCCTTGTTGGCCAACAACAGACCTGATGGACTGTGCAGATGGAAGGAACTAGGCTTCAGAACACATGCCAGTCTCATGCACATCCCCTCAAGTGAAGAGGAACTGGGAGTCAGGAAGAATGGAGACATTGAACTAAGAGCAGGAGAGGGATGGTTTCCTAAGGAAAATCAGCTATAAGAACAGAGACATGGCCCTGGGAAGGCAAAAGGCAGCCCAGATCTTCTATGCTCTTTCTCCTGTCACAGGGAAATGGACTCCCACAGCTCCTTGTGCACTACTAGTGACTGTGCTTGTGTGTGTGTGTGTGTCTGTGTCTGTGTGTGTGTGTGTGTGTGCCCATGGAGATGCTACCATCTGACAGAAAGATCTAACCCCACAAGGAACTGCCACTCTGTGATCCTACTGGGCCCTGTAGGAATTCTACCAGATATGCATTGAACAGTGTTGTTTAAACAAAAATTATAGAAAGCCTACAATCGCATGGAAACTGAATAGTGCCCACCTGAAACACCAATGGGTCAAGGAAAAAATAAAGAAAGAAATTAAAGATTTCCTAGAATTCAATGAAAATGAAAGTACAACATACCAAAACTTATGGGACACTGTGAAAAGCAGTGCTGAGAGGAAAATTCATAGCTCTAAATGCACACATAAAGAAGATGGAGAAACTCATACCAATGACTTAACAGCACACCTGAAAGCTCTAGAATAAAAGGAAACAAACTCACCCAGGAGAAATTGATGCCAGGAAGTAATCAAATTGAGAGCTGAAATCAACGAAATAGAATTAACCAAAAGGCCAAGAGAGAGCACCCAAATTAACAAAATCAGAAATGAAAAGGGAGACATAACAACAGACAAGGAGGAATTCCAGAGAATCCTCAGGTCATACTTCAAAAACCTATACTCCACAAAATTGCAAAATCTGGAAGAAATGGACAATTTTCTGGATAGATACCACACACCAAAATTAAACCAAGACCAGATAAACTATTTAAATAGACATATAACCCCTAAAGAAATAGAAACAGTCATGAAAAGTCTCCCCCCCGCCAAAAAAAAAGCCCAGGATCGTTGATTTGGCAAACCGAATCCAAGAACACATCAAAAAAAAAAAAATTATTCACCATGACCAAGTAGGTTTCATCCCATGGATGCAAGGATGGTTCAACTTATGAAAATCTGTCAATGTAATACACCATATAAACAATCTGAAAGAAAAAAACCACATGACCATCTCATTAGATGCTGAAAAAAGCCTTTGACAAAATCCAACACCCCTTCATGAGAAAGGTCTTAGAGAGATCAGGAATACAAGGAACATTCCTAAACATATTAAAGGCAATTTACAGCAAGCCAACAGCCACCATGAAATTAAACGGAGAGAAACTCAGGGCGATTCCACTAAGATCAGGAACAACACAAGGCTGTCCACTCTCCCCATATTTATTCAATACAGTACTTGAAGTTTTAGCTAGAGCAATAAGACAACAAAAGGAGATCAAAGGGATACAAATCGGAAAGGAAGAAATCAAACTTTCACTGTTTGCAGATGATATGGTAGTATACATAAGTGACCCCAAAAATTCTACCAGGGAACTCCTACAGCTGATAAACTCCTTCAGTAAAGTGGCAGGATACAAGATCAACTCAAAAAAATCAGTAGCCCTCCTATACACAAATGATAAAAGGGCTGAGAAAGAAGTCAGAGAAACATCACCCTTTATAATATCCACAAATGATATAAAATACCTTGGGGTAACACTAACTAAACAAGTGAAGGACCTTTTTGATAAGAACTTTAAATCTCTAAAGAAAGAAATTGAAGAAGATATCATGGAAGGATCTCCCATGCTCATGAACAGGTAGGATTAACATAGTAAAAATGGCAATCTTACCAAAAGCAATCTACAGAGTCAATGCAATCCCCATCAAAATCCCAACACAATTCTTCACAGACTTGGAAAGAAAAATACTCAACTTCATATGGAAAAACAAAAGACCCAGGATAGCTAAAAGAATCCTGTATGATAAAGCAACCTCCGGAAGCATCACCATCCCTGACCTCAAGCTCTACTCTAGAACTATAGTAATAAAAACAGCTTGGTGCTGGTCTAAAAACCGACATACGGACCAATGGAATCCAACTGAAGACCCTGACATCAATCCACACACATAGGAACATCTGATTTTTGACAAAGAAGCCAAAACTATACAATGGAAAAAAAGAAAGTATCTTCAACAAACGGTGCTGGCATAACTGGATGTCAATATGTAAAAGATTACAAATAGATCCATATCTGTCACCATGCACAAAACTCAAGTCCAAGTGCATCAAAGACCTCAACATAAATCCAGTCACACTGAATTTCCACAACACTGTGGACACACTTAACAGAAAATCAATCGCTGGGACCCCAGCCCCTCTACTCCGCTCACGGGACTCAGAGCCAGCCCCTCAACAGAAGATCTTGGTCCGTCAGCCGACCGCCAACTAGGAAAAGTAGGTCCGTCCTTCGGCCAGCGTCCTCAGGTGCATCTTGGATGCGAGCCGGCCCGTGCAGCACCGGGAGGCTGTGGGGAGGAGGGGCCCCAGGGAGCTCACTTTCAGGTCGCCACGCCCCTCGTCAGGGGGCGGGGCATGCAAATCAGACGCGGCCGGCGCGCGCGGGAATGCCGGGAGCGCGGGGGTCGTGGAGTTTGTGGCTGACGCTGTGGGAGGTGAGAGGGCGAGGGAGGGGCCGAGGACGCGGACGCGGACGGGACGCGGGAGGAGGCGCGGGGAAGAGCCGGGAGCGAGGGTTGCGCGCGGTGACCACGAGGTCCTTGTGGGTGGAGGGCGCGGAGCCGGGCTGCGCGCTGGCAGTTGGGTATCGCTTCTCGGCCTTTTGGCTAAGATCAAGTGTAGTATCTGTTCTTATCAGTTTAATATCTGATACGTCCTCTGCTCGAGGACACCATATTAAATGGATTTTTGGATTTGGGAGTTGGTCTAGGAGCTTGCTCCGTCCACTCCATGCATCGACCTGGTATTGCAGTGTCTCCGGGAACGGTGCACCCCTCGGGGGACAAGCTCGGTTCAATAAAAGAGTTTCTTTGTTACTTTACATTTAGTGTGTTTTTGCCAAATCCATGCTACTTAAAGGAGCCGCTTCACGAGGACCAAGGAGATTAAGGATTATTTGTGTAGTGTTAGTTGATTGTACCTGAGATTAATAGGTTTGAGGGAGGAAACCAAGGTCATTTACTACTGACGTTTTTTAATGGTACTTGCTTCTTGTGTGTGCCTGTTTCTTTTGAGGCAAGGTGAAGTCAAGGGAACTTGACTAAGGAAGCAGGGCTAAGGAGTAGAGTAGGACACATATTTTCCATAGTGGGGTGTCATTCCTAGCACTCAGGTTGAAATGGATATTATAAACTGTGACCGGGGAAGTGCATTCTTGAAGAACCCCTTGACAAGCATGCTGTACAGAGACTAGGCAAGAAGGAAGCCATGGTTGTTCTGTTCATGTATTTTATTTCCAGGTTCCTCATGCTCCCAAACAAGTATTTCCCTCCCTCAAATGCAAAGCCCAGATTGCCTGTATGTGCTGTATGGCACTGGTTTCTCGTTGATTCGTATCAAAAAAAAGAAAAGAAAAGAAAAAAGAAAAAAAGCTTGTGTGTGTGTGTGTGTGTGTGTGTGTGTGTGTGTGTGTGTCCGAGGAGATACTGCCATCTGACAGAAAGAACAGACCCCACAAGGAACTGCATCTCTGTGCCCCAAATCTGTTAGAACTCTACAAGATATGCATTGAATAATCATGCTTTTAAAGTATGCATACTTTATCAGATCTTTACACAGACAACTGTGACCTCCAGAAGTATTCCATTTACCAAATGTTTAGTACCACATTGATAAACCAGCCTGCCTCTGTCTTAGGCTTGAAAGCCATCTAAAGACAAACTAGATTCCTTCCTGTTCATGATAAAAGTGTGTTTCTCAAAGATTAGGTAATGACCCACAAGCAAGGAGGTAGTACCCAGGATAGGATCTAGGGAAAATGTCTAAGAAAACATAGGGTCCGTGGGAGTCAGGACTGGCCTCTTCCTAAGACACCAGAGAAGTCACTTAGGCTGTTGCAAACACAAGTGACATCATTCTTAAGGCTGGTACTCTAGAGCTCTAGCATGGTAAACATGGCTCTGGCAGGCCTTGCCCTTCCCAGTTCCCTCTGTCTTGCTAAAGACCGTTAGATTCCATTCTAAAGCTAACTCTCACGGTCTGTTCCCTTATTTGGCCACTTCCTTCTCCTGAGGCTGACTACCAAGGTCCAGCTATCAAAGTATTGAAGTCCAGCAGTCAAAAGCCCCCTCTGGATCACCTAATGAACATGGCCGTTAAAATTAAAGACCTCATCCTAACCCGAGGTTTCCCATTTTACCCTTATAAACCGCCACAGAGGCAGTCCTTTATCCTCCGAGACAAACGCCCCTTCCCTTCCCCCTCTTCCTCGTTCCCTTCCCCTTCTTCTGAGTCCTTTAATCTGTCATTGTCTCTCACTTCCTGCCCTCTGTCCCTCTGGGGAAAATATGTGTGCTGAGAACTTGGTCTTGGGGTGTCTTGGGGTGTTTTTTTTCAGCCTATTAAGGGCTCTGCTAATAGAGTAGGGAGTCCACTCTTCCCTACCATGTGCCAAATATCATTGATCTTTGCTTCATTATTGCATTTGATCCTATTAAGCATTAGTATTTTTATTTATTTATTTAATGTGCATTGGTGTGAAGGTGTCAGATCTCCTGGAACAGGAGTTACAGACAGTTGTGAGCTGCCATGTGGGTGCTGGGAATTGAACTCTGGTCCTCTGGAAGGGCAGCCAGTGCTCTTAACCGCTGAGCCATCTCTTCAGTCCCCAGCATCAGTATTTTTAGCCAGAAAACGATTGTAAAGTTCAAAGACATCACACATTTTATTAAGGAATTTCAATAAATACAACTCTTATTTTTCAACATTTATTACGGTTTTTACCTATATAAATAAGTTTGCCTTGACAACATTGTGGAAACAAGAGAAAATCGCTGGGATTCCAGTCTCCCTACTTCGCTCATGGGACTCAGAGCTAGTCACTCAACAGGGCAAACCGTCGCCCTTCAGCCACCCTCCTGCCTCCGTAGCTCTCAGGTGCATCTGGCCATGCACCTGCCCGTTTTGGAAACTTCTGTTTTCGGTGGATGCGAGCCTGCCTGTGGGTCATACGGAAACCGTGGGGAGGAGGCCCGGTGCAGCCACGCCCCTCGTGAGGGGGCGGGACATGCAAATCAGACGCGGCGGGCGCGCGCGGGAATGCCGGGAGCGCGGGGGTCGTGGCGTTTGGGGCTGACGCTGTGGGAGGTGAGAGGGCGAGGGAGGGGCCGAGGACGCGGACGCGGACGGGACGCGGGAGGAGGCGCGGGGAAGAGCCGGGAGCGAGGGTTGCGAGCGGTGACCACGAGGTCCTTGTGGGTGGAGGGCGCGGAGCCGGGCTGCGCGCGGGTGGTCGGGTATCGCTTCTCGGCCTTTTGGCTAAGATCAAGTGTAGTATCTGTTCTTATCAGTTTAATATCTGATACGTCCTCTACCCGAGGACAGCATATTAAATGGATTTTTGTATTTGGGAGTTGGTGTAGGAGCTTGCTCCGTCCACTCCACGCATCGACCTGGTATTGCAGTGTCTCCGGGAACGGTGCACACCCTAAGAGTTTTGTTAAATGTAAGAATCACTTCATATTCCGTTTTCTCCTTGTGAGTGGTTTCCATATTTTATTTCCTCTTTTGGTGACAGTACTGAGCCCCGTAACTGTAATCCTGGGTTGTCTGCATGTTTCTTGGCACATCATCTGTGTAGGTGTTTACAGTACTGGTCTTCCCGATGGTGTTCAGCACTCCTGATGTCACGATTGTTCTCACACTGTAGCCAGCCTGGCCTCAGTCTCTTAACTCTAAGGTGTTTCCTCTATGGTCCTGTACAAACACAATAGGCTTGTCAAGTAGATATTGCCTCCTTTTTCTAGGAAGTGCGTTTCTGTATTTTTGCTGTGCCTTCACAACAGACTGCACTGTTGCAACTTTACTGCCAGAACAAACGCCTTTCCAAAGAGAAGGCAATCAGTGTAAGACACATCTATCAAAGCCAGCTCTCCAACAATACCAAGGATTCTATACTCCCCAATATCCTCATATCTGACAAAACTGTGCATAAACCTGGGTCTACATGTCACCCTCTACCTTTTCATGAATATTAAGCAGGTGATGGCTGCAAGGTGACACAAAATTAGAAATTGTAGGAAGCATGCATCCAAACAAACAAAAAAACTCTTAGCAGGGCATCGTGGCACGCCTTTAATCCCAGCACTCGGGAGGCAGAGCCAGGTGAATCTCTATGAGTTCGAGGCCAGCCTGGGCTACAGAGTGAGTTCCAGGAAAGGCGCAAAGCTACACAGAGAAACAGAGAAACCCTGTCTCAAAAAAACAAAACAAAACAAACAAACAAACAAAAAACCTCTTAAATGGGGGGGGGGGGAGCGTGACTCCATTTCTGTATTCTGGAAAGGAGAGGCTAGATCAGCAGCTCAGTGTAATCCGCAGTTGGATAGCAAGTTCAAGACAGCCTCAGACTACCTGAATTCCCCTCAGGAAAAGCCTAGCCTGGAAATCAGGGCGTTCATTTTTTTGTATGTGTTGTGAGAAACCCCAAAGCCTTGATGGAACTCTAAGCACATTTGTGCCAATAGAATTTCTGTTGTGATAATGATGATGACTGATTGGTTGATTGATTGTTGTTGGTGATGTTTTAAGGCAGAATGTAATGTAGCTCAGGCTGCGCCTAAATACACGGTCCTTCCAATTACTGAGATTGTGGGATTTATTTATTTATTTATTAATGGTCTTTCGAGATAGGGTTCAATGTGTAACAGCCCTGGCTGTCCTGGAACTCACTTTGTAGACCATGCCAGCCTTGCACTCACAGAGATTGGCCTGCCTCTGCCTCCCAAATGCGGAGATTAAAGGTGTGTGCCACCACGGCCTGCCTCTTTTTTATTTTTTAATGTCCTATTTATTGTGCTTTGGTGTTTTGTCCGAATGTATGCCTGTGTGAAGGTGTCAGATTTCCTGGAACCAGGGTTACAGATAGTTGTGAGCTGCCATGTGGGTGCTTGGAATTGAACCTGGGTCCTCTGCAAGAGCTCTTAACCTCTGCGCCATCTCTCCAGCTCCACCTTGCTTTTATATGCTGCCCAAGATCACCTGCACAGGAGTGACACCTGCCACAATGGGCTGGATCCCCCCACATCGATCATTACTCAAGAAAATGCCCTCACAGACATGCCCACAGGCCAGTCTCATGGAGGTAATTCCACAGTTGAGATTGCCTTTTCCCAGATATTTCTAGATTTATGTCAAGTTGAGAAAAACTAACCAGTACACCTCTCTTAGCTACCAGGTACCAGATGTCATTGATCCTTAGATTACTATTGAGTTTGATATTTGATATATGAGCTTGAAGTTGGAAAAGTACATAGGCGTTATGCATATATTTCCTAGATTACAAAGAATTTCAATGAAGGATGACAATATGATCAGCAAGTGAAGTCACCTACCAGGAAGCCTGACAAAGACCTGAGTTTGATCTCTGGTGCCCACGTGGCAGAAGAGAAATTCCCTAAATTTACCCTCCATCCTCCACAAACACCACTATGGCATGCAGACCCCCTCCACACACACACCCCCCACAATAAAAATGCAATGGAATAAAAATCAATACAATTAAGGCCAGGTGGTGGTGGCGCATGGTGGCGCACGCCTTTAATCCCAGCACTTGGGAGGCAGAGGCCGGCGGATCTTTGTGAGTTCGAGGCTAGCCTGCTCTAGAGATCCAGGAAAGGCGCAAAGCTGCACAGAGAAACCCTGTCTCAAAAAAACCTAAAAAAAAAAAAAAAAAAAAAAAAAAAAAAAAAAAAAAAAAAAAAATCAATACAATTAAATGCTCTGCCTGCATGTATGACTGCAGGCCAGAAGAGGGCACCAGATCTCATTACAGATGGTTGTGAGCCACCATGTGGTTGCTGGAATTGAACTCATGACCTCTGGAAGAGCATCCACTGCTCTTAACCTCTGAGCCATCTCTCTAGCGCCTGAAGGCACACTTCCAAGAAGGAACCTTCTCTTGTTGAAATGTGACCTTGATTTTGGTGAGTGATTTTGGCTGTGTATACAGTCCCTCTGATAAGTGGCCTAGGAAGGAGAAAAAGAAGTAATTCATATACTGTATAGTGACATTTGACCGTATGTGACAATACTGCTACAAGGTGGCATCCCCTAGTGATGTTGCACCCATCTTAGTTTGTGTAAATACATTGTGGCATCAACCCCCAAAATCGACTCATGGAACATGGCTCAAAACCTCTCCTAAAGCCAGGTGATGGTGGCGCATGCCTTTAATCCCAGCACTCAAGAGGCAGAAGCAGGCGGATCTCTGTGAATTCCAGGCCAGCCTGGTCTACAGAGTGAGTTCCAGGACAGCTGGGGCACACACAGAGAAACCAAGTGAGTTCCAGGAAAGGCGCAAAGCTACACAGAAAAACCCTGTCTCGAAAAACAAAAATAAATAAATAAATAAATAAAAATAAAAACAAGGGCTGGAGAGATAGCTCAGAGGTTAAGAGCAATGGCTGTTCTTCGAGAGGTCCTGAGTTCAGTTTCTGGCAACCACATGGTGGCTCACAACCATCTGTAATGAGATCTGGTGCCCTCTTCTGGCGGGCAGGGGTACATGCAGATAGAACACTGTATACATAATAAATAAATAAATCTTAAAAAACAAAAACACCCACCCCACCTTCATAAAAACCAACTCTCTCCTAACAAAGCTGGAGACATGGCTCAGCAGTTAAGATCTGTTGCTCTTGCAGAGGACCCAGGTTCAATACCCAGCATCCACATGGTGGGTCACAACATCTGTAACTACAGTTCTTGGATATTTTCCCTCTTCTGACTTCCTTGGGCCCCAGACACACATATATTGTATATACATACATTCAGGCAAATATAAAATAAGTAAATCTTTAAAAAAGAAAGAAAGAAAGAAAAACTGTCCCAGCATGAAGTGTCACAGCTGTGTCTCTATCTGTGAAGTGAAGGTGTGGGGGGTTGAATAAGCTCATATATTTGAATTAGTCAATAGGGAGTGGCACTATTTGAAAGGATTAGAAAGACTGAGAGGTGTGGACTTGGAGGCAGTGTGTCTCTGGAGTGGGCTCTGAGGTTTCAAAAGCCCATGCCAAGCCCAGAGTCTCTCTCTTACAGATCAGCATGTAGTTCTCAGCCACTCCTCCAGCACCTGCCTGCATACCACCATGCTCCGTGTCATGATGATAATGAACTAAAGCCCTGGAAACGGTAAGCAAGCCCTCAGGTAAATGCTTTCTTTTAAAATAGTTGCCTCGGTCCTGGTGTCTCTTCACAGCCACAGAATAGTAAAACATAGTGAGTTTCAGGTCAACCAGGGCTGGTAGTGTATTTATCTCAACAGAGATAAATATTTTAAAAGTAAGTAAAGAATAAAATAGTAAAATTATGTAGTAGCCAAAATAATTTTTTTTTTTTTTTTTGGTTTTTCGAGACAGGGTTTCTCTGTGTAGCTTTGCGCCTTTCCTGGAACTCGCTTTGGAGACCAGGCTGGCCTCGAACTCACAGAGATCCGCCTGGCTCTGCCTCCCGAGTGCTGGGATTAAAGGCGTGCGCCACCACCGCCCGGCTCAAAATAAATTTTTTAAGAGGTATTTAGGGGATTCTTTTTTTCTTTCAAATGTTCTAATATTTTTTTATTTTATAATTTAATTTAATTTTACATATCAGCCACGGATTCCCTTGTTCTCCCCCCCTCCCGCCCCCCCAGCCTTCCCCCCAGCCCACCCCCTATTCCCATCTCCTCCAGGGCAAAGACTCCCCTGAGGATTGAGTTCAACCTGGTAGATTCAGTCCAGGCAGGTCCAGTCCCCTCCTCCCAGGCTGAACCAAGTGTCCCTGTATAAGTCCCAGGTTTCAAACAGCCAACTCATGCACTGAGTACAGGACCCCGGTCCCACTGCCTGGAGGCCTCCCAAAACAGATCAAGCCAATCAACTGTCTCACCCATTCAGAGGGCCTGATCCAGTTGGGGGCCCCTCAGCCATTGGTTCATAGTTCATGTGTCTCCATTCGTTTGGCTATTTGTCCCTGTGCTTTATCCAACCTTGGTCTCAACAATTCTCGCTCATACAAACCCTCCTCTTTCTTGTTTTAGGGGATTCTTTTACTGACCTCAAACTTACCAGACTAGAATAATCTTGAACTCCTTAACCTCTTGACTCTAGCTCCTGAGTATTGTTTACAAATTATAGATATTGATACCAATTTGAGATTGATTTTGTTAGAAAATGCTGTATGTATATTTCTAATCTTGTTCAGGATATTGTACCTATACAGTTCATTTAGCAATGTAATGTAATTTGCTAATCCTTGAAAGTTATTATTACCAACTATTAGGATATAAAGAAATGAAAGTTAGTAGTTAGTCATTACAATCTAACTTATAGTCATATTAGGTATGTTTTCAAGGTCAAGCAGAGATATATTTTAGATAGACAGGTCATCTTCAAACCCTTCAGAGATCTACAGAATATGGCATTTAAGATATTTTAATAACAGGTTTTTCTTTTTTCTTTTTTTTTTTTTTAAGACTGTGAGACATGTCTGCTCCTGGCTACACCGATCCACTTCAGAGAAGATATGAGCATTGAGGAACTTCCACATGGAGTTACTTTCACTGTGGCAAGAGTTAGCCACTGGGCAAGAAAGTGCCCTTGCATTGACTGATGACATTATGCTGTCCAAAATGGACAAGCAGGACACAAAACAAAGGATCAATCCTTGCCAAGACAAGTGTGGTTATAGCTTTAGCAACAGGCGTCCTCTGAGGCCAGGACAATATGGCACCATCCCTGAAGTGGCCTTTGCAATCCGGAAAAGGTACCATGCCCCTTTCTTCTGAGGCAGCTGAACAGGCAGTGGGCCGATGGCTTCTGATGTGCAGTGGAACAGTAGCTGAAACAGTTATTCTTGAGGAGTAACTAGGCTGACAGGAGTCTAACCTCTCAATGGTAGACTGGCACTTAATAAAGGAGAAGAAGCCACCCACAAGCTAAGAATAATGGGATGCTGAGATGAAGCCACCCACAAGCCGAGAAGAATGGGAAGCCAAATTCCAAAAATACCAGCAGTTTCCAGAATTTAAAATCCTGAATCATGACATGACATACTTGCACTGAATGTGAGGTTGAGCTGAAGGCCTTGTGTACATCCTACTTCACAAGTGAGTCTGTCAGATACGCTAAGCATGTAGGCCAAAGATGATGCCCCAACACTGCGGAGAAACCTCAGGTGACTGTCCAGGCAGGTGGCTGTTTCTGTCATAACTCACATTTTTTTGGAAGTCACTTGTTTGCACTTCCTGTTTTACTAGGTAACATTACTTCCTTCTCAGGTCTCTGAGGGAGTTGAAGATTACATAGTTGTAGTTACAGTTTTGCTTGTTAAGAAATTCCTAAAAGAAACTCACTAAGAGGTGTTAAGTGTGTAAGATTGAAAGACATCATAAAATAGTTTTCTGTTGGTAATATGTTAGGATAGAAAGTGAATTAGGTACATTTTAGACTTACCAAAATAGGATAGATAGTGGAATATTTTCACTGAATTTTCCAAATGCAAATGGACTAGACATTGCTGATGTATTTATTATGTGTATATTGTATATAGTTATTGTACTTATTGTATATAGTGTTTCTTATATTAGTTATAACTTTTTAAAAATTTTTTATTAGACAAAAAAGGGAAATGATCAGGTAATTTGCACGCAGCGTGATCACACAATCTATGTATATGCGTGGCGTAGCTCCGTAAGCCCTTATGTGCACGTGCAGGGGGAATCCATAAAAAGCGGGTCACAGACTTTCCCCCTTCTTCCGCCTTCTCCTTCTTCCTCTCTCTCCGCACATGTCTCTCAAACAGGCCTGAGCACACCCTCTCCTGTCCTCTGCTTCTCCTGATAAACTCTCATAGTGGGTTTTATTATGCCTCGTGGCTTTTCTCTCACAGAAAACAGTGTCACTTAATGAATAACATTACGCCGCCACATAAAACCAACAGCCATGACAGGTCTACACTGTCACCCCTGGCTTAAGTTTAGAATTTGTTGAATTCAACATGTCCAAAACTTCATCATTTAACAGTTTTAAATTACAGGTATTTTCTATTTAGCCACCGTATTCAAAATCCTACATCCATTTCATACTTACTAAAATACGTCTTTATCAAATGAAAGGGTTTAGTAGACAGCACCTTCAGTTTGGCCTTGGAGGACTCCTGGGTAGCACCCACCCACCACCCAGGGCTGCAGAGTGGACTGGTAGAGCGTGCACTGTGGGAGCCCGTTCTCGGGTTCCTCGTGACTTTACCCAGCAGGTCCGCATAGAGGATGATTAGACCACGGGCCTGAGTGCAGGTGTCTGAAATGGTCTGCACTTGGCTGTGCTGGGGGAGGAGGTCTTTTGCTCCACCCCTTGGCGTCTCTATAAAAACCCTGGGGCAGAGCCAGTCAGGGCCCGTTGGAATAGGTTCCAGGCCCTCTCGAGGCTATCCTTTATTTTCTGTTTATCTCCACGATATTCTCCGCAATAAATCCTTCTATCTAATATTTTCTGCTGCTCGCACTCAAGAAAACTCTGGGGAACTGTGGGGGTGGTTGGGAAAACGCCCCACAGAATGGCGCCATGAACAGGGACTAAAGAAAAAAGAAAAAAAGGAACTAAAGAAAAAAAATGGGGGATTAAAAAAAGGGGGGACTAAAGACAAATGAACAGGGACTAAAGACAAAGTAATAGGGACTAAAGATAAAGGAAAATAAGTTTTATTACAGAGTTTTTGGCGAAAGTGCTGAGTTCAGCCCTGCCAGTGGATAAGGCATGCCGGTGTTATGGAAAATATATATATTTTATATATATTATTGAGAGGCAGGGGTTTTATCCTCGAGAGAAAAGGAAAGCGGACTGGAAGGATGTCCGATGCTGCAGCGAAATTCTCTTCTGTCAAAATTTTCTATCTTGTATCCCTTTCTCAATTTCTATCTGAAAAATAAGTATAAGGTATAGCGTAGTAATATAGTATAGGAAAACCTTAGAAGTGTAAGATTGTGTAGGAAAAAATAAGTAGGGCAACTAGACAGAAAAACTCTACAATTTTCTAACTTTGGGGGCTATGAATGCAAACTGGGGAAAAAAATCTTTCTTTGGGCTTTACGGGTAGTAAAAAAAAGCTCTTTGAGCTTATGAGGAAGAAAAAGTTTCCTCTGGAAGCTTTTGACCTGGGGACAGCTGAAATGCTAAGTCCAAGCGGCAGGAGAAAGTGATTTCTCCCTGAGGCAAAAATGGGGGTATAAAAAGCCAAAGTTTAAAGTTGGGAAGTTTTGGGAAAAGTTGGTCTTTCTTTCTCCTGGGGGAAAAAAACCTTTCTCTTAAACTATAAAGCTTTTCTTGGAAAATTTGGGCGGAAATCTCTCTAAAAAAGCCTTAATCTTTCTCAAACTAAAAGCTCTCAAACTTGAAAACTAAAGCCTTTAACTTTCTCAAAAGGGCAAAAATTAGAATCACCTGAAGATATTAGTATGGGGACCACCTGTGATTAGCTCTAAGGGAAAACAACAAACCTCTTAAGACAGCAAAACTTAAGTTCTCTTTCAAGCTTTAAAAATCCTCCCTGCAATGCAGGAGGCAGGGACAAGTTCCTAAAAACCTCTTCTAAGCTCTGTCTCTTCAAGCTAGTAAAAGACAGTGGGTCAGAGTACCCTGAGGGAAACGCTTGGGAGAGTGTGGGTAAAGAGCTACAGAGAGCCCAAAAGGGCAGGAAACTTTACTGGAAAAAGCAAAAAAGCCAAGCTTTTCAGTTACAGCCGAGCTGAGGCATTAAGGGTTTTGTTTCTGAGTGAGCGTCTTTGAAAAGGTGTTCCTAATCGTCCTAATGCAAAGATCCTCTGAAGCATTGTATCCTTGCTTCTGACCAAAAACCCAGAGGTGACTGGCTAGCGCCTCTGAGCTGAAATGCATTTCGGGGATACTAGGGTTCCTGCAGTTGCAAACTTCCTGGAGCACAGAGCTGAGGCAGGAAGGTGCAGGACCCAGGGGACAACTGCTAATGAACAAACAAAACTAAAGCCAGTGGGAACAGCACAGTTGCCCGCTTTCCTACAAGTCTCAGGTTGATAGGTCCACAGCTGCAAAGAAATCTGAGAAAAAGCTTTCCCATCAGAGTAAGGACCTTTCTGGGAAAACAGTAAAGCTGAACTGTGTCTGAAGCAGTTGTGCTGCGCTGAGTCAGAACGCTGTCTGGGGAAAGAGCCCAGCCAGGGCAGAACAGAACTATCCAGGAGTAAAGCTTTCTTTTCTGTCAGAGAAAGCATCTCTTTGAGAAAAGCTTTGTTTCAACTGACTCCCAATGAGATGGAGTGTAACCCTGAGGGGTGATTGCCTCTGGCATAAGCTCTGTCCTTGATCACCCAGACAAGCAAATGCAACCCACTGGGGGACTGGGCCAGGTGAAGGCCTGATAAGGCAAAACACCTGTCCTAATGGGAGTTTAGAGATGGCAAAAACCTCCCTTGCTAGATTTTCAGTCTGTACGCAAACCACACAGACCCCAAAAACAGAAATGGACAAAAAGCCCCTACCTTCAGTAGCAGGGAAAGCCACCACTGTAGTGTCGGAAACTGTTTCTGGGGCAGAGGGGATAAACTGAGACCAAATTGGATACTGTCTGGGAGAAGGACTCTGAAGAAACAGAGAAGGGACATAATCCTCCCCAGAAAATATATGACCTGAAAAAGCAGCTAGAATTTGAGGCAGATTCGGGGGGAGAAAAAAAGCCCCTACTTCCAAAGGCAGCTAGCAGAGGTACAGATCCGCAGACAGATACCTGAAGCTCTGCATCTGGGGAAGGAAGGAACAAGCAAAATGAGACAGATCAGTGGGAGAAAATCTCTCTGAAGGAGCTATGGAAAAGCTGTTGTAAATGATCTTGTTTTTCACTGACTGGCTAAGGCAAACACAAGCCCCGAGGAAAGTTGCTATCAGAAATGCCCACCTCAATGCCGGCTAATGAGGCAGGTGCAGTTCTGATTTGGGGGCCAGTGTCAAATGAAGGAGAGACACCTGTTGAAGCCAGCTGAGAGACCAGAAACCTCCCAAAGCTGAAAATGTAAAATGCTTGTTCAAATCTCCCGGGCAAGAATTTGTAAGCAAGTCTGGTAAAAGAGAACCAGTTGACTCTCAGACCCAAAAAGAACTATGGGAAATGACTGATATAAGGGAAATGATATAAGGGACTGATATAAGGGACTGATATTATGGACTGATATAAGGGAAATGCATTCTGGGAAAGGTAGTTTTTCCATTAAAGATGGCGACATTGCCCTGAAACACTTTTGTCAGCTCGAAAATACGTTCATGGTAAACTTAAAATACAGCTTTTAAAAGAATAAGGAGGAAAATCGTCTAAGAGTTTAAGTGTCAGTTCCAATGAAAAATTGAAAGGATACGGAACTAGGTGCTTCGCGGTTTGGGGCTCCGTTGGTAAAATTCCTTATTTACCCTAATAGCTGTACAAAGTTTTTGCGGCAGTTGGATGACAAAAAGCTACCTTTAAGAGCAAACAAGCCACTTTAAAATCCTTAAGAAAGCAGTTTATACACTGAACGTTGTCTTAGATATGAAGAAACTTATGTGAAATTAAAAATTATTTACCTCTTAAACAAACAGCCTGCAATGAGTGATTCCTTTGCAAATCTAATTAAGGGGATAAGAAACAGGCATTCAAAATGAAATGACTGCTTTATAGATGGGAAACAAACTTCAGAAAATCTAGCTGTCTTACAAAAGAGTTGCTTCATCTGAAAGTTCCTTATAAGAAATCAATGCTAAATATTACAGCTGCTAATAACATCATGAGTTAAAGCTAAAGAGGTGAAAATACTAAATACAGTTCGGAGCTGTGCCACTTGTGGTTTTACTAGTTCCTTTAGAAAAATACTTTATATCACCTAATAGCTGTGCAGTATTTGGCGAAGAGCTTTACAGCAGCTAAATACGGTAATTTCACGCTCAGCGTGAAGTTTTTCAGTAGAAAGAACCAAAAGTACTGCTGTAATAGAAACGTTTGTCTGAATTGAAGCACTTAGGGGAACTACTATGAATTTGGGTGAAGGGACAGCCTCTAGTTAAAAACCGTCTACCGTTGACAGTGCATCTCTACCGGTTCGGAACGGCTGAGAGAACTGGCAACTTTGGAGTGTGGTGTCATCCTGGGAAGGTTACAGTCCCCTAGCAACAACTATCACAATTCTATAACAACACCACTCACTAAATCCCAGTGCTTTATAACAAAGCTGACTATAAACTCTAAACTTTAGAAATGACGTACGTACGTACTTCCTGTCTAGTTAAGAATCTTTCTAATAGAGATAGTGATAATTAAGAGTAAGAAATAGAAAAGGATGAAAATATGTGAGTTTGAAGAAATTCTGTCTTGTTAGATCTGTGTTAAGAAATCTTTAGGTGTTTGCGAAGTTAAACGTATGCTAATAGTAGCCCTGTATAAGTTTGTAAAATAGATCTATAGATCCTTTAAGAATACAGGCTTGCAAGAAGTATCTAAGGTAGTCTTAAGACATGTAGTAATAAGCTTGTAAGAAGTAAAGATGTTAGCTGTAAATGTAAGTTTAAATAAGAAATAAGATGGAATGAATATAAGTATATAAGTAATAAGAAATATATTTGCTAAAGTAGTTCTATAGTTTCCTTAAGGAGTATATAAGTAGATGTTAATGTTATGAGTTTGTAAAAACGTGTAAATGTTGAATGTGAGTCTAAATGCTTTCCAAAAAATGTTATGTGTGAGTCTGTAAAAAAGTGTAAATGTTAAGTGTGAGTCTATTCCTAATATATATGGTGAAAAAACCTGAGATACAGAAGTTACTGTCCTAGGAGACTGCAAAGCAGGCAGTCTGAGCGGTTTTCAAAAGCTCCAGAAGCCGCTAAGAAGCTAAGAATGGTGGACGCCAGAACCAGCAGAAGACATCCGCAGCTGAGATCCGTGGAAAATCTTCGCAACACAGAAAAACCTGAGCTAACATCAAAAACGGTGCGGTTTAGAATACTACTGTACCTAAAAAAGAATAAGTTCAGAGACGCTTGCTTGAACAAAAATTGTTAACTGCAAAAAGTTTTGGTTGAAAAACGTCTCTTCATATTTTGAAGTGAAAGCCTAATACTAGAATTTATTTGTTTGAACGTTTTGAACTTAAAATGAGATAAAACTACAAAAAGATTTTGGTTCTGGATTTCTTCATATTTGGAAGGCTAGTACCAGAATTCAATTTATCATTTGAATTCTAGGACTTAATGAACTGAACAATAGATTTCATTGCAATGGTACAATTTTGAGTTTACTTATAGTTATGACCTAGAAACTGTTTTCTGGGACTGGTTTTGTGTTACAAATGGAACTGTTTAAACAGAAAAGTTTGGGTTTTCTAACTAGGCTTGAGATTTTGCTTAAATTATAAAGAAAAGGGGGAGAGTTAATATTCCTTAGTCTAATTTCAAAAGTTGTTTGAGTGGATTAATGTCATGTTTTGTTAGTAAGAAATGCAAATGGGGTATACTAAGAGACTACTTTTAAAGTGTGTAAAGAGTTTTATTAAGAAACTGCTTTTGGATGTTTTGCTAAGTTTTCAAAGTGTTAATGGTTAGATTGAGAAGATTGCTTTTCAATATGGGTTTGTAGGAATTGTATAGGTTTGAGATTTTGCTTAAAAAATTATAAAGAAAAGGAGGAGTTATGAGGTTGAATTATGTTTGCAGAAATTATATTTACCCTATTGATATTAATGCACCCTGGTTTTGTGGAGTTAAGGAAATATTTAAGTTTGATGTGAATACACTGAAGTTTTTCCTATGTCTGTTAGCAAGAAAATTCAAATGATTGAGTTAAAGTTGTAAGATGGAGAAAATTGTTAACTATATTTAGCCATATATTAACCATATATGCTAATTCAAATGGTTCTGTTAAGAGTTTGCTTTGTGTTGTAAGATTGAGAGAATTGTGACTATGTATAGCAATATTTATGTTAACCTATTAATGGTAATGATGAAGCTAAGGGATTCTTTAAGTTTGTAGTCACCTTAAGAGTTTTTGTTTTAGAAAGGGCTTGAGGCAGCTAAGACTGCTGTAGTCACCTTGGACCTAATTCAAAAGAGAAATGCCATCTTTATCATCCTCTACTCCCATATTGGGAGGTGTAACAGCTATGGAGATTGCTGTAAGCCATTAGTAGCTATTTTTTGTATATTAAGAAAGGGGGACCTGTGGGACCCCGTTCTCGGGTTCCTCGTGGCTTTACCCAGCAGGTCCACATAGAGGATGATTAGGACCACGGGCCTGAGTGCAGGTATCTGAGATGGTCTACACTTGGCTGTGCTGGGGGAGGAGGTCTTTTGCTCCACCCCTTGGCGTCTCTATAAAAACCCTGGGGCAGAGACAGTCGGGGCCCGTTGGAATAGGTTCCAGGCCCTCTCGAGGCTATCCTTTATTTTCTGTTTATCTCCGCGATATTCTCCGCAATAAATCCTTCTATCTAATATTTCCTGCTGCTCGCACTCAAGAAAACTCTGGGGAACTGTGGGGGTGGTTGGGTAAACGCCCCACAGTGCACTCAGGCTTGGGCTCTGGGAATGCAAGGCCGTTTCTACTTGCTCTCCTTGGCCACGCAGCCACGCAGCTTCCTGTCCTGCAGTGGGACTATGACCGCCACCAGGCTCTGCGTTATCAGGACCCAGGACATAAATTCTTTCAGTTTGAGGCTGCAAAGGAGACTGCCATCCTACACGCATACACACACACACACACACACACACACACAGTGAATCTTGTGGCTTTCCTTACCTTTTTGTCTGCATCAACCCTCATCCAGATTTTTCTTTTCAAAGGATTTTGTTTTTAATTATGTGTACCTGTGTTTCAGGGTGTGTGCACGTATGTGCTGATGTCTGCAGAGCCCCGTGAGTTGGAAGTACTGGCGATTGTGAGCCATCTGATGTGGAGTGCTGGGACTCGAACTTGTCCTCTGCAAGAGCAGTTCCAACTCTTATCCACTGAGCATCTCTCCAGACGTTCCTTGCAGATTTCTGTTTGTTTGTATGTTTGTTCTTCCGAGACAATGTTTCTCTGTGTAGCTCTGGCTGTTGTGGAACTCGTTTTTGTAGACCAGGCTGGCCTCAAACTCACAGAGATCCCTCTACCTTTACCTCCTGAGCGCTGATATTAAAGGCGGTGTGCCGCCACCACCCTGCTCCTTGCAGATTTTTTTTTTTTTTTTGATTCCTCAGCTGAGACAGCGACAAAGATGGTTTATTGTACACGAGTTACACCCGGCCACAGTGGGAACAGAACGAGTCCGCAATGCACGGGTCCGGGGCAGAGGGCGGCGGGGTCTCAGGGGGTCGGGGCGAGCCGCCGGTGGCGATGTTCCAGGTCTATCCGACTCCCGCGAGGGTAGCACACAGCCCGGCGACCTGCAACGCCCCGGCCTCCGGCATGCCTTGCTTCCGGCCCCTCCGTGCACAAGCCCCGTTCACTTGGACCTCTGCCTCATCTTTCTCCTCTTGCGCTTCAGCCTGCGCATCCGCTTCTTCCTCCACTTCGCTCTCATGGCGCAGGGGTCCCCAGGAAGATGGCGCTAAGGCCGAGAGCCTCCTTGCAGATTTTTAAGAAAAATCCCTAGCTATGTAGACCATGCTAGCTTTAATGTCTCCCAAGTGCTGGAATTACAGGCAGATGCCAACTGTCTGTTTTCTTTTTTCTATATTTTAAAAACGTGTGTGCGTTTGTGTGTGTGTGTGTGTGTGTGTGTGTGTGTGTGTGTAGTGCATGCCATAGTGAACATGTGGAGATCAAAAGACTAGTGGCAGGAGACCGCTGTCTCCTTCCACCAGGCAGGTAGGTCAGGAATTTAAGTCACCCTGCTTAGCAGCAAGTACCCTTATCGCTGCACTCTTACTGTCCCCATCCCTGCCCTCAAGACATCTAAAGGGACCAAGCAATCACTTTACAAAGGGAACCATGACCTTGCAGAGCCCAGGCTGTTTGTTACCAGCGCTGATATTGGGGAGTTGGCTCGGAATAAACCATTTGGGCATCTTGGAATTGTCTTCCTCCCTCCCACCCCCAACCTTGACACAACTGACTGACAGACTCCAACCTAAAAGTTCTTCAGTGAAAGGAGGGAAAAGGTCAATGCTGTCTCTGTCACAGAAACGTGTTGCCTGCCACCTTTCAGCCTTGACCTCAAAACATTTCCCAGAACATCCCCCCACTATCTGCTCCTTTTGCAGTCTTTGAGGACGGTGGTATCATTGGGAGCTCTGGATGCCCGCCCTTGTTGAGTGCACAGCATACAGGAGGAGCTCCGGCAAACCTTTGTGGGGTGCACAACGTTTGTGTTGATGAGCACAGGCCCAGAGAGTAAGAAGCATCTGGGAGGGCCTGGACTGATTCAGGGAGCAAGAAGTAATCTGTGGCAAGGGTTAACAAAACAGCAAAGAGTGAAAAATAACTGCCCAAGGACGATGAACAGCGAATTAGGGACAAATGCCCGGAGATGTCTTTATTTAACGTGTACATAGGTGTTTGCTTGTGTGGGTTAATATGCCCCACGTGTGCGGAGCTTTAACACGCACGGGGAGGCTACCGATCGAGCTTGCGGCGGGCGCAGAAGCAGCTTTAGGAAGGCGGGGACAGCCCGCGCCGTTCGGTCCCTAAGTGACCAGGTGAAGGCGGGGGAGTCACGGTGACAGTCACACAGAGCTTCCAGGTTTGGGGAAGCGGCGCGGACTCTCCGCGGCCACCAGTGTCTTTCATTCCCTCCCAGCGACGCCGCCCGACTCGGAACCAGTCACTCCACCGACCGGCGAAGCTCGTCCTCCGGACAACGCGAACTAGACAAGCAGGTCCGACCTTCGGCCACTGTCCCGACAGCCGGCTCTTCAGGTGCCTCCGGCCGCGGACCCGCCCCTCGAGCTTCCGTTTTGGGTGGTAGGTAAACCGGAAGTGCCCGGGAGCGGGCACACGAGCCGTGCGCAGGCGGCCCGGAGGAAACTCAGTGCGCGGCAGCCACGCCCCTCGTCAGGGGGCGGGGCATGCAAATCAGACGCGGCGGGCGCGCGCGCGGGAATGCCGGGAGCGCGGGGGTCGTGGAGTTTGTGGCTGACGCTGTGGGAGGTGAGAGGGCGAGGGAGGGGCCGAGGACGCGGACGCGGACAGGACGCGGGAGGAGGCGCGGGGAAGAGCCGGGAGCGAGGGTTGCGAGCGGTGACCACGAGTTCCTTGTGGGTGGAGGGCGCGGAGCCGGGCTGCGCGCGGGTGGTCGGGTATCGCTTCTCGGCCTTTTGGCTAAGATCAAGTGTAGTATCTGTTCTTATCAGTTTAATATCTGATACGTCCTCTATCCGAGGACAGCATATTAAATGGATTTTTGTATCTGGGAGTTGGTCTAGGAGCTTGCTCCGTCCGCTCCACGCATCGACTTGGTATTGCAGTGTCTCCGGGAACGGTGCACCCCTCGGGGGATGAGATCGGTTAAAGAAAAGAACTTCAGCGTTTCTAGGCGTGTTCCTTCTGCGGTGTTTGCCTTGTTATGCTCTATTTTTCGGTATTTTACGCTCTTATGCTTGTGCTGTTTCATACCAACTTCATGGGAGGTCCTGTGTCCATACTGTGTCCCTTTTTTCATAGGTTCAGCTACTCCCAAAATGTGAATTATGCACAATGTATAATGTCAACATGATCAAGCAGACGAACTTGATGAAAAGTGTATCTGTATTTTCTAATGCTCTTCAGGAAATAACATATTCCTAGATATCTGGGCTAGGTTTATCCTTTGCTTTTGCTTTTTCTCCCAATCTTAAGCATTTCAAATGCCCATGTTCTTTTTTTTTTTCCTTGCCAGAGTAGTTTTATTTCCTTAATTTTTGTCGTCTTTTCCCACTACTGGGCAGTAATTACTGGGGAGCCGTGCAAATTTTCTTTTTCCTCTTTTCTGTCCACCTTTAAAAGGAGATGTATTTTATTTATTTATTTATTTATTTATTTATTTATTTATTTATTTATTTATTTATTTAGGTTTTTCGAGACAGAGATGTATTTATTTAATGTGTATGTGTGTTTGCTTGTGTGAGTAAATATGTTCCACATGTGTGCAGGAGCCCTGGGAAGACAGAAGAAAGCGTATAGGATTTCCTGGACCTGAAGTTAGAGCCTAAAGAAACCATTCTGCTGGTCCTTTGATGTGGACTATCTTCCCTTGTTCCTAGAGCTAGAGTCCCAATTAGTATACCTAGTTGGGACAAACTCTGGACTGCAACCTGGTAAACAAAGAGTGAAGAATGCAGAAAGAAGAGTCTAAAACTCAAGTTGAAGCTTTACAGCCATGCCAGATCCCAGGAGGGAGCTACCTGGACAGACTGGCGTGTTCTGCACTTAACTATATGACAGCATTCTTAAAGGAGCCCCTTAATGTTGGTAGTGCTTTTATGGTATAGGATACAGTGGTATGGCAGCTGTGGAAATCCACCCCTCAGATCTCCAGCTATTTGAGAACAAAACTGTTGACTGTCAGTCCTGCTGCTAAACATCAGGATTCCTCCCCCCACACACTATATTCCCCATTCTTCTTGCTATGCTGGACTTCATCCAGGCTGTTTTTCAGGTGTCTGTCACCTTTGAGAACTGGAGCTGGTCTAAAGGGAGTCTTTAGGGCTTCCCATTAGCTTGGTCTACCCTTCTTGAGATTCTATCTATTAAACCCACCTTTTTTGCCTCTCTATCACAGCGGTCAAAACTCCCTAAAGGTCTCAGTCAGAAGTGGTCAGAAACCTCTCTAATGGGCAATCTGTAAGTGCAACTGGTATTTATATAGGACATAAAGCAACCTGAGGGTGGGGTGCACATAGATTCCTGAATAGTGGCCAACAACAGCTGATAAGTTGGCCTGGGAGGGAGGCTAAGGTAAGGGGGAACAAAGAGGAGTGGACACAAAGTGTTACTTCTTTTAATTAATTAATTAATTATTATAATTAATTAATTAATTTTTATTTAATGCCGAATGTTGTTTATTGAAGGAGGGAAGAGGTCTTAAATACAGGCTTACAGCACAATGGGAGAACCCCGGAGGGCAGAAGTTCACTACCGAATGTTTTACAATCTTGCATCTAAGCTGTTAATGCCCAATATGCAGGATACACAGACAAGGAACTTCCCTTAAGCATTCAGGAGGGTGGAACCCGGCAGGGAATTAGCATAGGGAGGATATCAAGGTCAGCAAGCAAGGCAACAGTTACTCAAAACGGGGGCCAGGGCCCTACAGGTTCCCCTTTTACTAAAAAATGAGCTTCTGACTTAGGTTGCATGGGATGTCAGCAGGTCACCTTACCCGTCATGGAGACACCTGCCCAGGCCACACAGGCACTATGTCTTAGGATAATTTAAATTTTGTTTTTCTTTTTTAGTTTTTTTGTTTTTTGAGACAGGGTTTCTCTGTGTAGCCCTGGCTGTCCTGGATCTCACTCTGTAGACCAGGCTGGCCTCGAACTCACAGAGATCCGCCTGCCTCTGCCTCCCGAGTGCTGGGATTAAAGGCATGCGCCACCACCACCCGGTTAAAGTGTTATTTCTATATCCCACATTAAGTCTTACCCACCCACTCCAAGACACCACCATGGACAGGCCGCAGAACAGCCACATAACTCAGTTGGGCACATCCTAGAACTGGGACAAGGGGCACAGCAATCGAGGGGATTGAAGGTGAGCCTGGTAGCATGGTTCCCACGGACATAAGGCTGGGGGAGGCGTGGCTGTGTAAAGTGGAACTCGCTGTGTAGCAGAAGATGACTTTGAACTGAGCCTCCTGCTGTCTGTCATGTCCTGAGCACAGGGGTTACAGGTATGCACCTCTAGGTCTAGTGTATGAGGTGCTGGGGATCGAACCAGAACTTCATGTAGGCTGTGCAGTTCCGCTCCACCCCCAGATGGTCAGTCGTGTGGAAAGTGAACTGGGCCTTTTACATGTTTTTTCCTTTGCCAGCTGGCCATAGGTTGTCAATAGGGGATGACAGAAAGACACTGTAGGACACTGGTTCTCAGCCTGTGGGTCGCCACTGTTGGAAAACATTTCTGATGGAGAGTGGTTAAGCACCTTTACTGCTCTTCTGGAAGAGCTGAGTGAATTCAGTTCCCCATACCCACGTCAGGGGGGCTCACAACTGTCTGAAATTCCTGCTCATAGGGGATCTAATGACCCTGATGCCTCTGGCCTCTTTGGACACTGCACTCATGGGCACATACCCCACCCCCACCAAATTTACACATAGTTTAAAATAAAAAAAAAAAAACAGGTTAAAAGATAACTGGTTTGGACATGAAGATACATTTATTTTGGGGGTAGTTTTTGCATAGATAAAACTGATAACATTAAAATTAGTTTCTTTCCCCCACAGAAATTATAAGCTCTTGTGAAGTACAAAACATTCTCGAGATGCTAAGGCACACATGAACAGGACAGACGGGTGTTTCCTTGACTTAGAGCTTGGCCTTCTTCTTAAAAGACTCTTTCATTCTCCTGACCACAGAAAGGTCCCCAACTCCTTCCGGCCAGTTGTCATGATCTGTTTAGTGAGTAGAAAAGTGAAAGTCACTCGCAAACCTCTTAAACCTTTCGTCCTGGTCTGCGCCCAAGCATCATGGTTTTGTTTACTTGTTTGTTTGTTTTTAACCTACTGAGGCTAGGAAAAAAGAAATCTGCAGGACAAACAGTTTTGCAAAATCCTTAGATTTCATCTAAGCCATCTATGAGAACCATTTACTAGAGGGGAAAGGAGCAATGAAGTCTTTAAGCAGCACAGGCAGATTTGGCCTCCTTTCTATCATTCCTTGTACTTAGAGATTTAGATATTTTCTTCAGCTCAGAACATTTTCTTTTTTTTTTTATTTTTAATTTTTTTTTATATGCATTATTGTTTCTGCCTGTATGTTTGTCTGTGTGAAGGTGTCAAATCCTGGAGTGACAGACAATTGTGAGCTGCCATGTGGGTACTGGGAATTGAACCCGGGTCCTCTGGAAGAGCAGTCGGTGTTCTTAACTGCTGAGCCATCTCCAGCCCCCAGAACATTTTCTTTAAAATCCTATCACACATATAAACATTTTGTACTTTTTGATGCTCTGTAAGAGAAAGCCTCTGAGGTAGTGAGTTAAGAAACGGAGCCTGGCCGGGCGGTGGTGGTGCACGCCTTTAAATCCCAGCACTCAGGAGGCAGAGGCAGGCGGATCTCTGTGAGTTCGAGGCCAGCCTGGTCTACAGAGCGAGTTCCAGGATAGGCTCCAAAAGCTACACAGAGAAACCCTGTCTCTAAAAACCAAAAAAAAAAAAAAAAAAAAAAAGAAAGAAAAAAGAAAAAGAAAAACAGAGCCTGGGCAGGTAAAGAGCTAGCGAGTCCACTTCCTGGCGGCTTACCTGGTATGTGGTAGGAGTGATTGTACAACGACTGACCTCCGTCCACACTGATCAACTGTCCAGTGATAAAGGAGGCTGCGGGGGACAACAGGAAGCACACCACGGAGGAGACCTGGGGACAGAAGAGGATGTGTGCGTGGAGAAGAGGAAAGGCTAAAACAATATTAAGAAGAGGCCCAAAGGCTCTTCTCCATCGCTGGGAGCCCGATACTCCTGAATGACCATATCTCAAACCACAGAGCTGCATCGTGAATCCTCCTGTGTGCACATCGTCATGATCTGACAGCACAGAGACTGTGTCCCTTCACAGTTTGGACAACAGTGAAATCAGGGACAGATGGTAAGATGTGAAGCCTCAGACAGTGGCAGTCAACTGGCGTGGCATGGAGAGGCCACAGGTGAACACTGAATCTCAGCCGTTTCCCGAGTCAACAGTGAACTCCCTTCCGGGGCTCCCCCCTTGTCTGACGAAAGCCTGTTTGTCCTCGCTGCCACGTGCTCCTGACATCCTGGTCCCAGAGACAGTGAGTTTGTGTAGCAGGGTTGGCATTCTGATTTGTTCAGTCTGTGGCCCAAAGCACAGCTGTGCCAATCACAACCGTCCCCCAGTGGGACTTCAAGGTCCCACCACGTCCCCCGAAACATAGTCACTTGGTGATTTTGGAGGAACTCCCCAAACCAAACAGAATTCATTTTACCGATGGTCAAAGGAAGCCGAGTTCCACAGAGGGTGATGGTTCTGAGCACATCCCTCTCCTGCCTTTTATACCAGGGACTAACGAATATGTAAAAAAACAAAACGGGGGAAAAACAAACAAACAAACAGTGAGAGGAGCGGACAGTCTGAATTTGATCAGATTCCATAGAAGGAGAGAAACAATTCCACAGAGTTGTCTTCTGACCTCTGCACATGCACCATAGCACACATGCATGTCTGTACACAGGCTCGGACACCACACACACACACACCCCACTGATAAACAGGTCAGCCAGCTGCATCTGGTGTGAAAGCTTTGCTGATCTTAGACACAGCACACCATCAGACAGAGACCAGAGTTTCTCCCACACTTTGCATTTCACAATAGCTATCTATGTTAGTAGTTGTCTGAGTTCGACTGGCTGTGTTCCTTCAGGGGATTTTTAAGGTCGAAGCCATTGTCACTGTGTTGACATTTTACTCACGGAGCCAAAGCAATGATGGGAAAACTTCCGGAGCCTCAGCATGAGTCCTGGCAAGAATTCCACACTGGGGCCAGCGAGGTGGCTCACCCAGGAGAGGTGCTTGCAGCCAAGGCTGATGGTCTGAATTCAGTCACTGGAACTTACATGGAGAGGACACACACCTGAACACTGTCCTCTGACTACCACACTTCTGCTCTGTCACACAAGCACTCAAGAAAAGGAAATAGGACGGGCAGTGGTGGCGCACGCCTTTGATCCCAGCATTCGGGAGACAGAGACAGGTGGATCTCTGAGTCCAAGGCCAGTTTTGTCTACAGAGTGAGTTCTAGGACAGCCAGGGATCCACAGAGAAACCCTGTTTCAAAAAAAAAAAAAAAAAAAAAAAAACCAAAACAGGAAAATGAAAAAAAAGAAATAAATGTATCTGAGCTTGCTAGCACACACCTTTAATCTCAGCACTCGGGAGGCAGAGGCAGGCAGATCTCTGTGAGTTTGAGGCCAGCCTGATCTACAGAATGAGAGCCAGGCCAGCCAGAGCTACACAGTAAGACCCTATCTCATAAAAAATTTTAAAAAGTGTAAAAATAATGTTTTTAAAGAATACAAACTATATTAGTAGTTGTGCCAACAGTCATAATATTCTGATCCAGATACTCATGCAAATGGAGGGAGGTTGAGTGCATATCTTCCTAGTGTTCTAGGTGATGAAATAGGAAGTACACACACACACACACACACACACACACACACACACACACACACACACACACCCCAAGTGCTTTTGTTCCACAGAGAAGTACAGTGGCCATTTCAAGAAAGAGAATATATGTTTATACTAATGGAACAAGCCATTTTTTAAATTGAACTTCTTTTAGGCTTTTTCTTTTCTGAGCATGAGTATTTTGCCTGCACGCACACAGGTGCACCACATGTGTGACCGTGCCTGCAGAGGTCAGAGGAGGGCACCAGATCCTCTGGAACTGCAGTTACAGGTGGGTGGAGCCACCATGCGGGGGCTGGGAACTGAACCTGAATCTTCTGCTAGAGCAACGTGTCTTAACTGCTTACTGAGCCACCTCTCCGGCCCCATAAAGATTTAACTTTTAAACTGCTTGAAGTTTTTCTCTTTTATTTTTGAAATAATATAATTTTTTAATTAATTAATTTTTGGTTTTTCGAGACAGGGTTTCTCTGTGTAGCTTTGCGCCTTTTCCTGGAACTCACTTGGTAGCCCAGGCTGGCCTTGAACTCACAGAGATCCGCCTGGCTCTGCCTCCCGAGTGCTGGGATTAAAGGAGTGTGCCACCACCGCCCAGTTTAGAATTATTTATTATGTATGCAGTGTTCTGTCTACATGTATGCCTGTAGGCCAGAAGAGGGTACCAGATCTCATTACAGATGGTTGTGAGCCACCATGTGGTTACTGGGAATTGAACTAATTTTTTACTTAAAAAAAATTTTTTTTTCAAGACAGGGTTTCTCTGTGTAGTTTTGGTGCCTGTCCTGGATCTTGCTCTGTAGACCAGGCTGTCCTTGAACTACAGAGATCTGCCTAGCACAGCCCTCCCCCCACCCCAGTTTTGGGATTAAAGATGTGTGCCGCCGCCGCCGCCGCCGCCACCACCAGCACCACCACCGGCTGAAATAATATATCATTTCCCCCTCCCCGTTCCTCCCTCCAAACCTTTCCCTAAATCCCTCCTTGCTTTCTTTCAAATCATGACCTCTTTTTTGATTAATTGCTGTTACATGCATATATATATATATATGTATATATGTATGTGCACATATATTCCTGAATATAACCTCTTCAGCCTGTATAATGTTACTTGTATGTATGTTTTCAGAGCTGATCTTTCGGTACGGGATAACTAATTGGTGTGCTCTTCCCTGGGAAGACTGTTTCTCCCACTAATTTTACATTTTATTTCTATGTGTGTATCGTGTATGTGTCCCTGTGTGAGTATGTACACTTGTGAGTACAGGTGCCTGAGGGTCCAGACACAGGACTCGGACCTCACAGACCTACAGTTCGGCTGGTTGTGAGCCCCTTGATGTGGATCCTGAGAAGCACACCTGGGTACCCCGAAAGAGCAATATATGATCTTTTGTTGTTGTGGTTTTTCCAGACAGGGTTTCTCTGTATAGCCCTGACTGTCTTGGAACTCACTCTGTAGACCAGGCTGGCCTCGAACTCAGAGATCCACCTGCCTCCTGAGTGCTGGGATTAAAGGTGTGTACCACCACCACCACCACCACCACCACCACCACCATCACTGGGCTGCAACATGTGCTCTTCACCACTGGGTAATCTCTCTAGCTCCACAAGCCACTTTTAAAATGAAAATGGCTGGATTACAGTTAAAATGAGTATCTGGCCAAGCTTTTTTTTATCATGTATTTTTTGACAATTTCACGTGTGTATACAATGAATTCTGGTCATTCTTCCCCCCATTTCCCTCTCCCATCTCTCTATTATTCCCACTGAACCTCCTCTTCTCCAAACAAGTCTCTCCATCTCAGCAAGCACCTTCTTAATTTTTTTTTTTTTGTAAATGAAGGAAGGAAGGCTCTCACGTCAAACAAAAACAACTGACACTTTGTTTTCAATGTTGGGCTTTCACGTGAAATAGACTTGAGCAGTGGGTGGAGACATTGAGAAAGGTGCTCTTTCCATATTGCCTAACGGACCGTGTCAACTTTCCGATCTGCCTGACTGGGTGAGCAGGTCATTGCAAAGGACGGGTGCCCTATGTTACAAATTAAATAGATCAAAGATCCACGGTGTGCAAAAGGAAGGTTCAAATTAACGGGGCGCAGAAAGTATAGTGACGGGGGCTGGAGAGATGGCTCAGGGGTTAAGAGCATTCATTGACTGCTCTTCCAGAGGTCCTGAGTTCCATTCCCTGCAACCACGTGGCGGCTCACAACCATCTATAATGAGATCTGGCGCCCTCTTCTGGCAGGCAGGTGTATAAACAGGCAAACCACTGTATACATAAAATAAATAAATAAACCTGGGGGAAAAAAAAGAAAGTATACTGATACCATATCAGGTTCCACACTGCAGCTAATTTTAAAGAAACTGTTGGGGTTGGTGCAGCTGAACCCCAGCACGCACAAGGCCCAGAGTCGATCTCCCACGGTGAATAAACCAGGTGGCACCAGCCTGTAATCCCAGCACTCGGGAGATGCAAGCAGGAGGGTCAGAAATACAAGTTTCTCTGCTACATATCAAATTGAGGGCCAGCCAATTTCAAAAGAATAAAGCCAAAATCAACCAACCAAACCAAAACAAATAAATTTCTTATCACTTGTTGCATTAAAAGAAGAAAAGGAGATTGACATTCATCTGGAAGGCTATTCAGATGGTCTCTTCTTTTTCAGCTCCCCAGCTGTAAGAAGCCAGACTCTCTTTCCTGTGCTTCGGCTAAAAAAATCAGATTTCGACAGATTAAACAAAGACACAAAGGTGATGGTCCAGCACATAGGATGAAGCCACACATTAAAGAGTTTGTAAATGTGTCAAATGAATGTAAAAAGAATTTCTTTGTTTTGGAAAAGGTAGCTAATTTATTTTAAAATATTAACATAATGCTTGGGGTTTTTTGTTGTTGTTGTTGTTGTTTTTTTTTTTAGTTTTTTTGAGACAGGGTTTCTCTGTGTAGCTTTGGAGCCTATCCTGGAACTCACTCTGAAGACCAGGCTGGCCTCAAACTCATAGAGATCCACCTGCCTCTGCCTCCCGAGTCCTGGGATTAAAGGCGTGTACCACCACCACCACCACCACCACCACCCGGCATGCTTGTTAATTTTAAATAAAGTAATAAATATTTCTTACATTTCTTGGTTTAAATTTCTAATATGATTCTGACACTCTGACTCATATTAACAAAAAGCCATCTATTTCAAGTAAAATTTAATCATGTTATCTACTCATTTCAAATAATTTAAAGTCCTTCTTTTCAGAAGGAAAATATAAACATAACATGGCCCATCAATGGTTATTTGGGGCAGTATTGTCATTATTATTCTGTTTATTTTTTTTGAGATAGAATTTCACTATGTAGCCCTGGCTAGCCTGAAACTCTCTATGTAGACTAGGTTAGCCTCTAACTCACAGAGATTTGCCTGCCTCTGCCTCCAGGAGTACTTAGATTAAAGGCGTGCACCACCATGCCCAGCTGGTATATTCTAAGTTTTAATATACCAGGATCTATGATAGTTTAGGATTTCATGCCCAGAAATAGACTCTTTCTCACTACAATGCAGGACGGCATTCAGGAACTTTCATTATAGGATTACTCCCCTCACAAAAACATAGGATCTAAATTAGAAGAGGAGTCTTTTGAAATAAAAAATTTAATAAACAGCCGGGCGGTGGTGGCACACGCCTTTAATCCCAGCACTCGGGAGGCAGAGCCAGGCGGATCTCTGTGAGTTCGAGGCCAGCCTGGGCTACCAAGTGAGTCCCAGGAAAGACGCAAAGCTGCACAGAGAAACCCTGTCTCAAAAAACCAAAAAAAAAAAAAAAAAATTAATAAACATAGGTATAAGGGTCTGTAAAGATGCACATAAAATATAACATGAGCTATTTTTAGAAATTAGAACCACATTCCCTCTCCTGCCAAGATTTTTGTAGTTTTGACTTTATGGTCAAGATAGATGGTGTAATGTATTTCTAAAGAACATTTGCTGACTGGCCTATCAGTGTGTGTGCAGTGCAAGTGAGCACACACACACATACATAGCGTGCACACACACACAAGCCTACACACACAATGATAATGAATAAAATAAAATTTCAATTTAAAATCTTGGGCAGTTTTTGCAGATATTTATCGAGATAAACTCTACTCAGCATGTTAAATTGCAAAATTATATTAAATTTATAGGTTGATGTAGGGAAATCTGACTTAATTTTTTTCTTTTTTTAAATTGGGCTTGGAGAGATGCCTCAGTAGTTAAGAACACGTTTTTGCTCTTGCCCAGAACCTGAGTTGGTTCCCAGCATCCATGTCAGGTGGCTCACAGTGGCCTGTAATTCCAGCTTTGGAGGATCCAACACCCTTTTCTGGCCTGCAGGGGCACTCACTGCGCTCATGTGTGTGCCGCTGTGTTTGTGTGGCCGTAGGGGACAAATGTGTGAGTTCAGATCAAATCTTTACCTGCTGATCCATCTTACTGGCACCTACAACTTCGTATTTAACTTTAATTTTGTTTGGTTTTTTGGAGACAGGGTTACACTAGGTAGCCCAGGCTGTCCTGGAACTTACTATGTGGACCAGGCTGGACTCATTTTCACAGAGATCTCCCTGTCTGCTTCTGCCTCCTGCATACTAGGATTGAAGGCATGGGCCCAGAAAAAATTGACTTTTTAATAAAATTGATTCTTCTGCCAAGAAATATGACATGTGTTTATTTAAAATATTTATTGCTAGTGTGTGTGTGTGTGTGTGTGTGTGTGTGTGTGTGTGTGTGTGTGTGTGTAGAAATATGCATGTGAGTACAGGTGCCTGCCTGCAGAGGCCAGAGGTGCTGGGTCCCCATGCAGTAGGAGTGATAGGCAGCTGCCAGCCATCTGATGTAGTTGCTGGGGATCGAACTCAGGTCCTCTGGAAGAGCAGTTCCTGCTCTTAACTGCTGAGCCGTCTCTCCAGCCCCACATGCCTTTATTTATCCTGCCTTTTTTTTTTTTTTTTCATTCTTCAATAAGAACCTTCTCCCCCTCTCCTACCACCATTAGAGCTAAGTTTACTTCCGGGTCATTTGATAAAGCTATTGGTTTTTACATACTTGAACTTCATGAGCCTATAATTATCCAGCTTGCTTAGAGCTGCTTGTACCCACACTGCATGTGATAAAGTAATGTAGCTGCAAGGCAGCACGAAACAAGAAAACATGTTGTCTTTAACTTCATGACCTTCGTTCCGGAGGAAAATTCTGCCGTCCGCAGTCAAAACAACTTAACTAGGTTATTTCCCAGAGCCTCAAGTGCAGGTGAAAGGGAAAAATCAGTAGCCATCTTGAGAGACGTTCCCCCTGCCCGGCCCCGGCCCCTCCTCCAAAGGTATTTGCTGACCAGCAGTTTTAGAACTGACCGGAAGTTGAACTTATGGGAAGATAAAGCTGAAACAATAAATCTATATATCCTGGGCTTGGCAAAACAAGATATGGGGAGTAATGGGCTCAACTGACCAGAAGTTGACCTCAGGGGAGAGTAGGACTGGAACAATAAATCTGAATGTATCTATCCTGGGTTCAACAAAAGCAGGACATAGGCAGTAAAAATGTAAGTCTCTGTAGATACTCTGAATCCTGTTAGCCATCAGTAACCTCATGCTTATAGTTCAGCCAGTAACTTCAAAGAACTACCTCACCCCCAGCCCCCTCATCCAATCCCAAAATGCATGTAAACTTTTCCTATACAAACCCCTTCAAGTGAGTGCTCGGGGCCGTCCTCCTCCACCCGCTGTGTTGGATATTGGACGTGGACCAAGCCCGAGCTTGCTTGTCATCAATAACCCCCTTTGTGTTTTGCATCGGATATTGGCTCTGTGGTGGTCCTGCTTGGGGGTGTTGCGACACGGGCACAACACTGGAGAAATGGTTTGGTGGCAATGGAATAATCATCTCTACTAGTGAAGCAGGCCACATGCCATGGGTACCAAATGTCACACATTTCTCAAGTCCATCTCATCAGTGCCAGGTATATACATCACCTCCTCAGGGACTCCAAGGCGCTTAGCTGGGATGGCCTCAAAGGCCATTTCAAACATGCTTTGTCCCAGTTGGCCATAGTTGTCAGCAGCAGTCTGGGAATAAACGGTTCCCTGTATTAGAAAACAAAGGCAGGAGATTAAACAGGGAAAATGCAATTGTCACCACACCGAGGGCTGGGGATGTAACTCAGAGGCAGAGCACTTGCCCAGCATGCTCGAGGCCCTGGGCTCCCTCCCTAGGGCCCAAACAGCAGCAACAAGCAGGCATCGGGAATACACTGACCAATAACCAAAGTGTCAACAGAAAAGATAAGCATTTTTTTCTTTCTTTCTTTCTTTCTTTTTTTTTTTTTTTTTAAGATTTATTTATTTATTATGTATACAGTGTTCTGTCTGCCTGCATGGCTGCAGGTCAGAAGAGGGCGCCAGATCTCATTAGAGATGGTTGTGAGCTACCATGTGGGTGCTGGGAATTGAACTCAGGACCTCTGGAAGAGCTGCCAGTGCTCTTAACCTCTGAGCCCACCTCTCCAGCCCTAAGATAAAACGTTTCTAAATCAACTTTTCTCAAGACTGTCAAAGGAGGTCCAGCCAACCACTATGAACATGTGGAACTTTCAAATGGTCACTTAGGAGGCCTTCTCCCCTTCAATAACCAGCTAAGTCTTGGATTGTTTCGTGAATGACTTGGTTTCTGAAGAGTATGTCTATGTAAGTACTTTAGCAGGGCACCTAACCAGGGACAAAGGGCCCAGGGATTCTAGTTTATCTTTCCAAGAGCATGCCTGCTTTACCAGGGAAGAAGTGTAAGTACAGGATTTCCTTGGTTTTTAAAATTAAAGTGAAATTTAAAAAACACACCAGAATCCAAGATTTCTGTATCTTGGAAAGCTAATTGAAAATGTGTTTATTTTAAATTCTGAGTGTGTGTGTGAATTGCACGAATGTGCGCGTGCATGTGGAGGTCCAAGTTGACGTCGTTTCCTCTTTAATCGCTCTCCACCTTGTTATGGAACCCAGGGCTCCCTGAGCTCACCGAGACACCAGGCGAGCTGACCAGAGAGTCCCAGGTTGGCTAGGCCGGTTGGTAAGTGGGTTGACTCCATGGCTGGCTGCCTACCCTCCCCCACAACACTTATACATCACAGGAAAGCATTTGAGTTGATCTGTGTAGAAGAGAGAGAGAGATTTCGTCTAATGGCTCTTGGAGTACATGACCGGTACAAAGTATCAGGGAGGCTCAAGCTCTAGCTGATTTCACAAAACAAACAAACAAACAAACAAACAAATAAATATCTGGGGAGGCAGAGGCAGGAGGACCAGGAGTTTAAGGCCAATTTAATCTATATAATGAATTTAAAGCAAGCCTGGGTTCTGCAAGAACCTTTCTCCAAAACCAAACAGAGGCGGGGAGGTGTCTCGGTTGTAGTTGGTGAAGTGCTTGCCATGAAATCTTGAGAACCTGAGTTCAGATCCCCAGCATCCACATACAAGCCAGCATGCTTCCGTAACTATAGCGCTAAGGTAGGGTGGGGACAGGCAGGTCCCTGGAGCTCACTGGCCAGCTAGTCTTGCCAAATCAGTGAGCTCCGGGGTCAACAAAGAGACCCTGTCTCAAAAACTAAGGTACAGGGTGACTGAGGAGGACAGCGACATCGGCCTCTGCCTTTCACCTGCCTGTGCGTGCATCTGAACACACACACACACACACACACACACACACCATATTCATAACAAAAAAGGGATTTTTGATGTTGTCAATATTGTACATTTGTAACATTGTAAGGCATAACTTGACTTCTAGTTGGTCTGAAAACGAAGAATTTCTTCCCAGAACCCTGACATTATGCTTTTTTCCAAATAAAGACTAATATACCAAGGAATAACACAATCACTTAGGAAAAAAAATTACTCTTCAAAGTAGTGCTTTTTTGAGTGCAGGTTGTATGTGTGTATGTGTGTGTGTGTGTGTGTGTGTGTGTGTGTGTGTGTGTGTGTGTGTGCGCGCGCATGCGCGCGCACCTATGTATGGGTGTTCTCAACCAGGCATGCGCACGAAGAAGCCAGAGGTCAGTATCAGTGCCTTCCTCTATAATTTCCATCTTATTATTTCTTTTTTGTTTGTTTGTTTGTTTGTTGTGAGATAGGGTTTCTCACTGAACCTGGAACTTGCTCATTCAGTTAGGCTTCTAGCCATCCAGAGAGCTGCCCAGGACTGGAGTTACAGGCGTGTGCTGTTGTGTCTGTCCTTTTACGGGAGTGCGGGGATCTGAACTCAGGTTCTCAGACTTGTACAGGAAGCGCTCTGCACACTGAGCTGTCTCTCCAGCCCCCCAAACAGTATTTTAACTCTGTGTGTGTGCGTGAGTGTGTGTGTGTGTGTGTGTGTGTGTGTGTGTGTGCGCGCGCGCGCGCGCGCTGTGCATGTGTGGTATGGGGGATGTGCATGCAGGTGCTCAGGGAGGCTAGAAGAATGTGTCAGAATTCCTGGAGCTAGAGTTACAGGCGGATGTGCAATGTTTGATGTGGGTAATGGGAACCGAGCTCAGGTCTTCTGCAAAAGCAGTATGCACTCTTGACTGCTGGGCCATCTCCCCAGCCACCTAGGATTTCTTAACCTTTACTGTGCAATAGAATTTCCTCTGTGCTTTTTATTTATTTATTTTTTTTTTTGGTTTTTCGAGACAGGGTTTCTCTGTGTAGCTTTGCGCCTTTCCTGGATCTCACTCTGTAGACCAGGCTGGCCTCGAACTCACAGAGATCCGCCTGGCTCTGCCTCCCGAGTGCTGGGATTAAAGGCGTGCGCCACCACCGCCCGGCCCTCTGTGCTTTTTATAATGCAGGTACTTACAACCCACTATATGATGAAAAGTTCTCGCATCACTATTGTTTAAATATACATAATATTAATATACAGCAAGACTGGGTATCACTGTCTCATTATCGATCAAATAACACTACTGCTATAATGAATGACTGCCTTGCTAGTTTAAGCTATTGTCTTAGTTAGGGTTTCTATTACTGCGACGAAACACCCTGACCAAAGGCAACTTGTGGAGGAAAGAATTTTTCCACATTACTGTTCATCACTGAAGGAAGTCAGGACAGGAACTCCAACAGGGCAGGGTCCCAGATGCAGGAGCTGATGCAGAGGCCATGGAGGGGAGCTGCCTATTGGCTCATCAGCCCACCTTCTTATAGAACCCAGGACCCCCAGCCTAGGGATGGCACCACTCACCATGGACAGAGCCCTCCCCCATTGATCACTAAATGAGAAAATGCCTTACAGCTGGATCTCAAGGAGGCATTTCTTCAGCTGAGGCTCCTGCCTCTGATAACTCTAGCTTGGGTCAAGTTAACACACAAAACCACCCAGGACACCTATGTTAAAAGTCAATCTTTTTTGTTTGTTTGTTTTTTGTTTTTTGTTTTTTGAGACACGGCTTCTCCATGTAGCTTTGGTGCCTGTCCTGGATCTCACTTTGTAGACCAGGCTGGCCTCGAACTCACAGAGATCCACCTGGCTCTATCTCCCGAGTGCTGGGATTAAAGGTGTGTGCCACTGCCGGCAAAAGTCAATCTTTTATAGTATATTTATACAGTTAGTATATACTATCTTGTCCTCAAGGACACAATTATCCACAACACAAATGGAATCAGAGGAGCCCAATTTGTCAACAGACTTTGAATATAATAGTTACCTACAGGAGCAACGCAGTTGATCCTTACTCCACTGCTGGCCCATGCCAAAGCCATGGATTTGGTGAGGTTGTAGACGCCTTCTCTTGCAGCTCCACTGTGCCTAATGAAAGACAGAAACACTGTCACCAGTTTCTGTTGAAAATGTTCCTCATTAGCTAACTTGACAAGCATATCAGTGACTTGAGAATGCCACAAGATTGGTTTTGTTAGGAGTCTCTGTCATGGTGAGTCCCTGTTTAACAAAAGAGTTGAGCCAGGCTGCGGTGGTGCATGCCTTTAATCCCAGCGCTTGGAAGGCAGAGCAGTTGGATTACCTCGAGTATGAAGCCAGCCTGGTTTCCATAGCAAGTTCCAGTCAAGCCGGGGACACATGTCAAGCACACATGCAAGCCAGGCAACCCTGTCTCAACAACAGCACACAAAGCATTTGGTCTGCATCTGTTCAGGGGCTCATGAAGAATGTAGAAATGGGCCTGGGGTGTCACTCTGCTGGTAGCGTGCTGCCCTGCATGCACGAAACCCTAGATTCAATACCTAGCATCACATAAAACCAGGTGCTGTGGCACATGGTAGCATGATCATCCTCAGCTACACATCAAGTATAATGTCAGCCTGGGATGTATGAGACCCCGACTCCAAAAACATAACAAACCACAGAGGAAACACAACACAACACACCACACCACACACATACACACACACACACACACACACACACACACACACACACACACACACCCCTTTTAAAAAAGGTGATGTGATTCAGAGATAATGAGATTCAGAATTTCTATGTACAGCATAATAATATCCCCAGAACCAAGTGCTGTGTGGTTTAATGTGGAAAAATTAACATAGAAAACTAGGGAAAAAATTTCCATTCAAAAGCATCTGAAATTAGGTGAGGAAAGACAGATTAGGTAGTAAGTGATGAAGGATTTCCTTCAACTTGTAGCCCTGCATATTTGCTGATCAATTCTTTCCAATTTAGTGTATCTGAAAGATCCTTGATTTCTCTCTCTCTCTCTCTCTCTCTCTCTCTCTCTCTCTCTCTCTCTCTCTTACATATATCTCACTGGGTAAAGAATTTGGGTTGTGGGCTGAAGAGATGTCTTAGCAGTTAAGAGTTAATATGTAACAGCTAATTTTGCTCATCAGCTTGACTGGATTAATAAGTACTTAGGGATTAGTAAGGCATACCCCTCTTAAGTGTCTGTGAAGATTTTTTCTGAGAGAATTCACTACAGTTCACTGTGGAGATGGGGAGGAAAGACCCATCCTGAATGTGGACAGGACCATTCCAAGAGGCAAGGATTTTACAAAGAAGCAGCTAGTTGAGTTCCAGCATCCTCCTTTCTCTGCTTCCTGGCTCCCTACAATGGATGGGACCCTCTCCTGGCTCCCTAGGATGGATGGACCCTCTCCTGGCTCCCTATGATGGATGGACCCTCTCCTGGCTCCCTATGATGGATGGACCCTCTCCTGGCTCACTAGGATGGATGGACCCTCTCCTGGCTCACTAGGATGGATGGGACCCTCTCCTGGCTCCCTACAATGGATGGGATCCTCTCCTGGCTCACTAGGATGGATGGAACCCTCTCCTGGCTCCCTATGATGGATGGGACCCTCTCCTGGCTCACTAGGATGGATGGAACCCTCTCCTGGCTCCCTACAATGGATGGGATCCTCTCCTGGCTCACTAGGATGGATGGGACCCTCTCCTGGCTCACTAGGATGGATGGAGCCCTCTCCTGGCTCGCTAGGATGGATGGAGCCCTTTCCTGGCTCTCTATGATGGATGGACTCTCTCCTGGCTCCCTATGATGGATGGAACCCTCTCTTGGCTCCCTAGGATAGATGGAGCCCTCTCCTGGCTCCCTAGGATGGATGGAGCCCTCTCCTGGCTCGCTAGGATGGATGGAGCCATTCTCATTCAAACCACCACATACAGAAACCTTAATCTGAATGGAAATGAGTAGCAGTTAGGGAAAAGGCAGGCAGATGAAGTGCTTGCTAGACAAGCTTGAGGGTGTGCGAGTTTGGATCCTCACACTCACATAAAAGTCAGGCACGGCAGTGCATGCTTGTGGTTCCAGCGAGGGGGAGACGGAGACAGAGACAGGAGGGCACCGGAGACTCACTGGCCATCCAGTCTCGCTGGATCAGAAAACGATAGGTTTAGTGAGAGACTCGGTCTCAAAAAATAAGGCGGAGAGGGATCGGCAAAGACACCAGATGTTGACCTCTGGCCTCCAACCACACACATTTTTTAAAGGTACAAATAAAATACATCATTTCCATGAATTAATAATAACATTATTTTAAAAGGAATTTATTGGGGTTGCAATTTACTAAAGGCATAAATCATTGATTTAAGATGTTTTTTTCATTATCGCCCCTCATTAAGAGAACAAAAATCTAAAGACATAGAAAAAAATACATAAAATACTTACGAGGCTGTTGGAAACCCATTGTTAATCAGGACGATGATATTGACAATCGACCCTCCATGATCTTTCATCCAGGAATTGTAAACTGCAAAACCAGACAAACGACAACCGTGTTAAACAGCGTCCTGACTCCTCCCTTATCATATCCTGCTCTGGCACACACTGGATGGCTTCTTTTTTTCGTTTGTTTGTTTTGTTTTGTTTTGTTTGAGACAGGGTTTCTCTGTGTAGCCTTGGCTGTCCTGGATCTTACTCTGTAGACCAGGCTGGCCTCGAACTCACAGAGATCCGCCTGCCTCTGCCTCCCGAGTCCTGGGATTAAAGGCGTGCGCCACCACCGCCCGGCATGATGTCTTCTATATTAATTTAATTTTTGTTATTGAGATGAGATCTTGTGTAGCCCAGGATGACCTCCAATTGATATATAGTAAGAAGCTAATTTAATAAACCATGAGGTAAAGCTGAAAAAATGCCAAGGAAAGATACAAAATGAGTTAGAAAAAAATCTTCAATAAACTAATAATCTAGATGAAAATTGTTGGAGCACTGACTCATTTAAAATGGTAACAGTCACACAGTATCTAGTATAACTTGAATTTAAAAAGAATTTTTTTTTTTAAGCCGGGCAGTGATGGTGCAGGCCTTTAATCCCAGCACTTGGGAAGCAGAGGCAGGAGGATCACTGAGTTTGAGGCCAGCCTGGTCTACAGAGCTAGTTCCAGGATGGCCAAGGCTACACAGAGAGACCCTATCTCAAAATACCAACCAACCAATAAAACAAACAAACAAACAAATAAATAAATAGAAGCTTGCTGTGGGCCGCAGGAATATATCATAAGAACTCAGCTGGTTATGGCAAAGTCACTACCTGGAGGAATCAGGGAATTCCTCCAGAGGAAGCCAAATCCCAAGGAGTTTCTGGTGTTACTTGGCTTGTTATATATCAGCTGTATTCTGTTATGAAAATCATGTGTGCCTTCATAGTTTTCCCAATTGACTTTTCCCTAAGAAGGGCTAACAGTGTGGACTGATCACTCTCTGGACATACACATTCCAGGTATTTGGAGAACAGCCTCAGGAAAGGCTTTCTCTGGAATCAGATATCTCCCTTGGCCACTTTCAAGGACTAGCAGTAATAACAGTCCACATGCAAGTCTCCTGAATTAAGACAAATTTCACAAGGAGACACCGCCTAGGTCAGGTGGACGTTAAGTAATAGCTTTACACAATTTAGCTCAGACCCTCCTTTCTTACAGCCTTACTAACTTTATAGACCACTAACTCCTTACCTAACCACTTCTAGGAATATTTAGATAACCTTCTGTGCTGACAGCTATGCTTCAGCCCAACCCCAGTCCAAGCCTCCCTGTAATTATCATCATTGGCAGCATCCAGCCAGGTCCATCCCCAGATGGAGGAAAGTACCTTATCAGAGATACCTCTGTACTCTCTAAGAACAGACTTAACCATCCAGACTACCTGTTTGAGAAGGCCTGGCGGATGTGCCAATTAAGCTTTACTTCCTCCTTTCCCAAACCTTACCTCTATCCAGATCTCCCTTTAACTATCACCAGAGGCATCTAGCTGTACACAGGTTGCCTAGCGACTGAGCACATTTACCCCCACCCTGCAGAAAAACGGCAGATAGCTTGCACAGATAGGAGCCACAGGAAAAAAGAAGACAGTTCTATTTTCTCCCATTGACCTAGCAACTTATAGATTCTTAAAATTTTCTACTAATCACGTTTAAGAGTTTAATAGTTGAGCACATAAGATCCCTCTTCTTAGATATTACCTGAATTTAGCCTTTAGTTAATTTATTTCCCCTTTGGTCACTTCTCTTTGGGGTTGCAAATGATAATTAACGGTTATTGCCTCTCAATGTGATTCTTATCACCCTTCCGTTTGACCCCTGGAAGCCTGGCTTTATATACCAGGACTTCCAGGGCATGGAGAGATAGAGAAGAGAAAAGAGAATGGAAGAACTAGAAGGGTAAGAACTTGAGAGGAACAAACTGAGATGGGGAAGAACTAGATTGAAGGGCTAGAGGAGAGCACCAGAAGAACAAGATGGAAGATGAGGAAGAGTCAGATGGGGAAGTACTAGCTGGGTAAGAACGAGGTGAAAAGGACCTAGATGAGGCAGAATTAAGATAGAACTTAGAGGGAACAGTAGATAAACAGAGAGAAATCAGGCAAGAAAGGAGCTAGGCACAAGAATAGAACTGAAGCTGTGTAGATAGGATGTTATGCCAGAGGAATTAAAGCAAGTGGACTATAGAGCTCGTGTGCTGAGATTCTATTTCCTGAAAATAGTCCTCGCCATTAGTAGTTCTCTCTCCTGAGCTCCTGGGATGTATAATATTAAGGCTGGTCCCTCTAATATTATACAAGAGAAGCCATTACAAGACATATTATCATTTCATCTATAAATATGTCTGCATCATTAACAAGGGAAAAAGCTTTCACAGTATAATCACAATACCATGAACAGACTTGATTAAATAATAACCCCTAAATATCACTAAGTGATAGTCACACTTCCCTGAGTGTATAATAACTTTGCAGTATTTCTGTAGGAGCTAAGCAGTAAATGAGGCCCACATTGTATCTGTTCATGTTTCCTCATTGAATCCAGTTCCCCTCCAACACTTCTCACCCAGTCACAGTTGACTTGTTAAAGTAGCTGGATTATCTTGCCTTTACTCATAGTCTGGATTGTGGCAGCTTGCATGCTGTGGTGCCTTTCTGCCTATGTTCTCTCTTCTGTATTACTTACAAAAGGGCAGATTTGGGTCTGATGCACACACCTGTGTATGTGTGCATGTGTCCACGTGTGCAAGAGAATGCTTCATAGATGGGGAATACTGTTTAGTCCATGAGGGGCATATGTAATTGTCTTCTTTTGTTATATGACAATATGCAGCGAATAGCTGTTGTCTTAGACCCAATTATTCCTTAGAGAGTTGAAAATGGAGATTTCCTTTATTTATTAGCATGATCAATTTCTCTGCTGTACAGTTTGTATATGAAAAGCAGAAAATGGGCTGGCCGGATAGCTCAGTGGGAAAAACCCTTGTTGTAACCACCTGAGTTTGATCCCAGGAATCCACACTGAAAGGAGAGAACCCATTCCCAGAAGCTGCCCTTTGACCTTCACATGTATGCTATTGCATGGGTGTGCTTGTATACACACACACACACACACACACACACACACACACACACACACACACAGAGTGAGATAGACAGAGAGAGAGAGACAGACGAGGGGAGAGAGAGATTACAATTAAAATTTTAAAAAAAGAAAAACTTTTCCTTTATCAGCCATGGAAAGAAATGGCTTGACATCCTGACACCCTTCAAAAAGTGGCTATTTGGGGGCTGGTGAGATGGCTCAGTGGTTAAGGATACCGGCTGCTCTTCCAGAGGTCCCGATCAACCACACGGCGGCTCACCACCATCTTTAATGAGATCTGATGTCTTCTTCTGCCATGCAAGAGTACATGCAGATAGAGCACTTACATACATAACATAAGTAAATCTTTTTAAAAAGTGGCTGTTACCTCCTCAGAATGATTTTAAATTTGTGGACTTAAAAATACTGATTTATCTCAATGCAAAGCACAATTTTCCAAGTAAGGCTCAAAGTACCCCATTTTTGGCCAACAAAAGCCTATTCAGGATTATTGTTGGAGCTAGCATGTTGACACATGCCTGGATCTCTGTACCTGTAAAACTAAGGTAGGGAGGTCATGAGGTCAAGGCCAGCCTTGACTACAAGGCAGGTTCCAGGTCAGCCTGGACTACATGATGAGGCCCTAACTTGAAAAAGGAAAGAAAAGAAAAGAAAGAAAGAAAAGAAAGAAAGAAAGAAAGAAAGAAAGAAAGAAAGAAAGAAAGAAAGAAGAAAGGAAAGTATCTATGGAATCCTTTCAAATACTCCACAGTTCTCTAATTTTTGATGTGACAAACTATTCTAGCCTTCTTTTGTACATTTCCTTCCTCACACTGAGAGTAATAAAACCTCTTTTAAAAGTCTCAATATTCCATTCAGAGACCACGGGGAACCTGAAGGAGTCCTCAGTGTTACTGGGTTAATGTTTCTCTTCAGTGGACAAGTGAGAAATACTTATCTCAATGAAAACTCTAACATGACCCCACACTGACACTTCCAATTTAGTTCAGTCACAAAGGAGACCCACTTGGGGTCATCTTCCGGCACACAGTCGTCCTTTCTCTTGTACCAAAGTTCTCATCTCTCCATTTCACTAACATAATTTATTTCTTCTCTTTAGTGTAACACACCACACCAGGACAGTCTCAGAAGAAGACCAACACCTCTACAAAAAAATATAGACACCAGCAGCAGCTTCAGATCGCTTTGAACCTTTTCTCCTCTTTGTGTCTTGTGAGGTCTGAACCACTAGGAATATTCAGTGACCGCACTGTACTGGGGTCATTTCAAAGGATTCCCTTCTCTGCCACTATGCCACCAAGTGAGCAAATATTTACGTTTAATTTTACATGGGATTTGTTGGTGTTTTGGTTTTTAGAGACCAGGTTTCTCTGGCTGTCCCAGAACTCACAGAGATCCTCCTGCCTCTGCTTCTGGAGTACTGGGATAAAAGGTGTGTGCCATCATTGCCCAGCTGTGCATGTGATTTTTAGGGATTGTCTGCTTTTCAGTTCCATTTTGACAATTATCTAATACATTCACAGAATCTTAAGTAAATGATGAAATTTAGTGAGGATCAATAATAAACAGCTTTCTATACAGCGCTCCAAGTATAATGTGTAAGAAGTATACATTCCAAAAGTGAGGTTATTCTCCTCCCCAAAATTTTTAAGCTAAATTTAATCATCACCAGAGGAATCCTGAATTTTGGGGCATTCTATAAGTTAGTGTTAGGCAGTTCTAACATTAATCTTTTTAAAAGAAATAGCATTCATTTTTAGAAAATTAAAAAACATTTTTAGAAAAAAAGATTCAGATCAAACTAAGGAGACACAGGCTGGAGAGATGGCTCAGTGGGTAAGCGTTGGCCGATCTTGCAGAGGATCCAAGCTCTGTTCCCAGCACCTACACTGTGTGACTAATAACTATCTCTAGGTCCAGTTGTAGGGGATCTGATGCCTATCCTGGCCTCTCCAGGCAACTGTGTACCCATGGGGAACACGCATGCACTCAGCATGGTGGTGGCGGTGGTGGTGCACGCCTTTAATCCCAGCACTTGGGAGGTAGAGCCAGGTGGATCTCTGTCAGTTCGAGGCCAACCTGGTCTATAGAGCAAGATCCAGGACAGGCACCAAAACTACGAAGAGAAACCCTGTCTCGAAAAAAACCAAACCAACCAACCAAAAACAAACAAACAAACAAACAAAACCCCAAATCTCTAAAGAGACACAGATCACAAACATAAGATATGAATTTTGGTAAGACCAAGATAAACAGGGGTCAGATGTTATTGACATGAGTCTTCTGTGTCCCCGACAGCGACTCTTCCAGCACCCCCTGTGGTTTCTCACCAAAGACATGGTTTTGTTCGTTTGTTTGTTTTACTGCGCCGTGGAGACACTCGCCTGCTTTACACATGTAGAAGGTGCCTGTCAGGTTGGTCTCGATCACGGCTTGCCATCCCTTTGCACTGATGTCTTCAATAGGAGAGATGAACTGGCCTCCTCCGTTGTTTACCAAGAAGTTGATCTTACCATACTTAGCTAAGGTCGATTTGACCAAATTATTCACCTAAAGGAACATTGAAAGTAAAGTTTAATAGCTAACCTGCTATGTGACCTAGTCACTTGGTTTAGAACTATAAAGCAATTCATAGACTCTAATAATGCATGTTGATTCTAAATACTACAACCCAAACATATAAAGCCACCAGCAAATAACCCCCCAAATCCCATAGTGTGAACTTACCACTGTACATAAATCACAAGCCAAAATTCTAATTTTGATGGCAAGATATACCAAAGGGTCACCAAGATACCTCTGTGCATAAGCCTCATTAGTATTAATTTGCTGTGAGATGTCTTTGTGAACATGTGTTGCTCTGAGTGGTTGATAAATAAAATGCTGACTGGCCAGTAGCCAGGCAGGAAGTCTAGGTGGGATAAGCAGACAAGGAGAATTCTGGGAAGAGAAAAGCTGAGTCAGGAGTCGCCAGCCAGACACAGGGGAAGCAAGATGACAAGGCAGAACTGAGAAAAGGTACCAAGCCATGTGGCTAAACATAGATAAGAATTATGGGTTAAATTACATGCAAGAGCTAGTCAGTAATAAGCCTGAGCTAATGGCCAAGCAATTATAATTAATATAAACCTCTGTGTATTAGGGGATGTGAGTGGGAGAGATTTGAAGAAAACTTGCAACTACATTAATTTCTAAGTACCAACCTTAAATAATAGTGATGAAATCAGAAAAAAAAACGAACAGTAAGAAATGCCTTAAAGGGTCTCTAGCTAAGAGCGCATCCTTGTTTAGCTCCTCTTCCGTGTTTTGCTAGCTCTCCTTCTGAGGTCACCAGCTCAGTAAGTCACGAGCACACACACGTACTTACAGCTCTGCCTTCTCATGGTCCTCACCGCCTTTAGGTACAGCTGGGGTTAAGAACAACTTCTGCAAAGAGCAACAAGTCCATATGCTGTGCGGCCATATTTACATTACCTCTTCTTCTTTCCTGATGTTGCACTGTATGGCAGTGACTTGCGCAGAGCTAGAGGGAGGCAGGGACATCCTCAGTTCATCTACAGCAGAGTTTAATCTGTCCAGCTTCCGGGAAGCAATGACCACATGACACCCTAAGGAGGAAATAGCCAGAGAAGGAAATAAGCTTCCAAGAACTGTCTACATTAAGGGGCTTAGAGAGATGGTTCAGCAGTTAAGAGCACTTGCTGCTCTTCCAGAAGACCCAGGTTCAATTCTCAGCATTCACCTGGCAGCTCATAGCTGACTGTAACTCTAGTTCCAGGGGATCTGACTCCCTGTTCTGGTCTCCACAAGCACCAGGCACATACATGATAGACAGGTAGACATATAGGCAAAACATACTTACATATAAAAATAAATAAAAAGCTGTCAATGGTGCATGCCTTTAATCCCAGCACTCGAGAGGCAGAGGCAGGAGGATTTCTGTGAGTTTGAGGCTAGCTTGGTCTACAAAGTGAGTTCTAGGACAGCCAAGGCTATACAGAGAAATCTGGCCTGGGGGTCAGGGAGCTGTTCAAGTTGTAGAACTATTTTGTGTATTCCTATAAAAGATTGGGGGTGGTGGTGGTGGAAGAGGAATTAGGTCAGGTTTGGATAAGATGGAGCAAGAGGAACTTGCTGTGGAATAATCCTCTTGTACACTGTAAAGATTTGTCACTTGAATTGGTTTAGTAAAACGCTGATTGGCCAGTAGCTAGGCAGGAAGTATAGGTGGGGTGACCAAACTAAAAATACTGGGAAGAGGAAGGGCAGAGTCAGAAGTCGCCAGTCAGTCGCAGAGGAAGCAAGATGAGAATGCTGTACTGAGAAAAGGTACCAAGCCACATGGTTAAACAGAGATAAGAATTATGGGTTAATTTAAGTGTAACAGCTAGTCAGTAATAAGCCTGAGCTACTGACTGAGTATTTATAATTAATATTAAGCCTCGGAGTGATTATTCGGGAATTGGCAGGTGGGAGAGAAATGTCCATTTATAGGAACTGAATTTACCCTATAGTCTGAAATGACTAAGAAGCCAGACAACACACACACACACACACATACACATACACACACGTTGCATGAATACTAAATGGTCTTGCATAATAAAAACCCGGAGCCAGATCTTGGGGTAAATGCTGAAAGATCAGAGAGACAAAGGAACAAGCCACTAGAGAAAATTCTCACCACTACCGAGTCCTATAGCCATAGTTCCTCTGGTCCCACCTGGCCCTGCAGTCCCACAGCCGCTTATAAAATAATCACTCAGAGGCATAATATTAATTGCAAATAATATGGCCTATGGGTCAGGCTATAGCTAGAGAGCTCTTAAAACTTAACCCATTTCTATTAATCTATAGGTTGCCATGTGGCTGTGGTGTTACTGGTCTGCTGGCATCTTGTTGCTCCTTGGGTGGCGGGCTGATATCTCCCCTGACTTCACCCTTCTTTGTCTCATCTTTTGTTTGAATGTGTCCTCTAACCTTATCCTGCCCTGCTACAGGCTAATGAAGCTTTATTTATCAACCAATCAGAGCAACACATACTCACAGCGTACAGAAAGACATCCCACAGCAGAATCCTCAGGATGAATGGAAGGTGAGATTCTATCTCCATGAATCCTCTGACTGAAAGCCTGAGTCCTCAGCCAAAAGGGTCTAGTTCCTGTCTCCTCATGCCTTATAAGCCTTTCTCCACCCACTCATTTTACTTCCTTCCTAGTGCTGGGATTAATGATGTGTGTGCTTCCCAAATACTGGTAGCAAAGGCATGAGATCTCAAATGCTGGGATTAAAGGCGTGTGACTCCCAAGTACTGGGATTAAAGGTGCGTGCCACCACTGCCTGGCTCTGTTTCTCTCCTAGACTGAATCAATCTCATGTAATCCAGGGTGGCTTTGAACTCACAGAGATCCAGACGGATCTCTGCCTCCTGAGTGCTAGGATTAAAGGTGTGTGCCACCACTGCCTGGCCTCTATGTTTAATCTAATGGCTGGCTCTGTCCTCAGATCCTCAGGCAAGCTTTATTTGATACATAATATATCACCACTGTGTGTGTGTGTGTGTGTGTGTGTGTGTGTGTGTGTGTGTGTGTCCACACGCGTGAATATACACAGGAAACAATTGTTTTGAAATATTGATTATCAAGTGCCATGGAACTAAAATGAGCAGCCACCTCTGAGAGAGAGCAAGTGCAAGAGAGACCTAGGAATACACCACATTACTGTGACTCGGGGTTAGACAGACTCCCTGGTAGCAGACAGATAGGGAGGGCCATGGCTACGCAATAAAGGTAGTGAACTTTAGCCAGCTTCTTCTTCCTCCTGACTTGAGACAAAAGCCTGGCAGTGTAAACAAAGGCCTTTGGGTCTTGTCTTCTGCCAGCAGGCCCCCACTGCTGGATTGGCTTAACAGGTTCAAGGCAGGATCAGGACATGTTACTCAACAGTTGTGGGCCAATCAACCATCCTGTCTTTTTTCAGACTGACCCAACTCTAACTTACAGGAGAAAAACTCTTCAGAGACTTAAGAAATCCTAGCCCTCAAGAGGAGACTGGAACTTTTGGCTTCCTGAGCTCCGCTCCCCCTCTGCTTAGCAGAATCACTTTCTCTGTGTTTGCTGCATGTCTGTGGTGGGTGAGATTTCTCTGCTGTTACCACTTGAACTCAAGATTGTTCCTGCCTTTTAAAATTCTTTAATTGGCAGAGAGAACTAGACCAATCAAGACCCCCAGACTGTATATATCATATATCATTACCACTTGTGGAGAGCTTCCAGACTACAGCCCAGAACAGATTTATTCTCGGCTCAGACGTCTCTGGAAGTGGGAGAGGTGAAGTTGGAATGCCAAGGACGCTAGGCAGCTGGCCACATGGGTTATAGGGAGATGAGAGATGAAGAGATTTCTACAGTCCTGGTTGAATCTCATCCAGGTAACTGCAGGTCTGCAGACTGGTGCATGGGAGGGCAGGAACAGGCTGGGGAAAGAACTCTTCAAAAGGAGCCAGCGAAGGAACCCAGGTAAGGATTTTTTTATTTTATTTTATTTTATTTTTATTTTTTTGCTGACTACCAAAAAATCTTTCACTGGGTAAACGCTGTAGCTTTGGCAGTAAAGCAACATTAGCCAGAGATGAAAGGCGACCAGGACAAACTTTTAATTTTAAAATGCTCTTTGGAAGTATCAAACTATTTCTAAGTAACTGAGCTGCATCCCAGTGCGGGGACGAAGGTGGGGAAGGGGAGCTGAAAACTATTCCTATGACTCTAAAAATCGCCAACAGCAACAAGGCTCAAATTGGTCAGCATCCAGCAAAAACAATCCCTGATCTGCAAAGGAGCAAGAAAATAAAAACCCATAATGAGAGATGTCAGCTAATAGAAAGCACCCCAGTGTCCACATCAGTGTCCAGAAGTGACCCTGATGATATGCCTAAATAAAACTACTATTGACGGGACTGGCGAGATAGGTCAAGGGTTAAGAGCACTTGCTGCTCTTTTATTTATTTATTTATTTATTTATTTATTTATTTATTTATTTATTTAATTAATTTATTTATTTATTGGTTTTTTGAGACAGGATTTCTCTGTGTAGCTTTGCGTCTTTCCTAGAACTCGCTTTGTAGCCCAGGCTGGCCTCGAACTCACAGAGATCCACCTGCCTCTGCCTCCCAAGTGCTAGGATTAAAGGCGTGTGCCACCACCGCCTGGCTTAATTTTTTTTTTTAGATTTACTTATTTACTATGTATACAGTGTTCTGCCTGCACGCCAGAAGGGGGGCACCAGATCTCATTATAGATGGCTGTGAGCCACCATGTGGTTGCTGGGAATTGAACTCATGGCCTCTGGAAGAGGAGCTGGTGCTCTTAACCGCTGAGCCATCTTTCCAACCCATTTGCTGCTCTTTTAAAGGACCCAAGTTCAGTTCCCAGCACCCACGCTGGCTGGTTCATAACCACCTGCAACTTTAGCTCCAGCAGATATGATGCCTCTTCCTGGCCTCTAAGAGCACCTGCACTCACATGCACACACACACACACACACACACACACACACACACACACACACACACACAGCTGAAAATAAAAATAAATCTAAAAAAAAATACTACTGATGAAGAGAGAAATCTGCAAAGCAGTTAGAGACAAACAACACATAACACCCAGAGGAATAATGAGAGGCTGAGAACTTCTTTCAGAACAGAACAAGGCAGAAGACAGTGGAATATTGCAAAATGCTAAAACAACAAAAATACAAATAACTGCAAACCCAGCCGTCCTTTCGGGATCCATAGCAAAAGCCACAAACATCAAATGGGAAGAATTCGTCAGAGCAGACCCACACTGAGAAAAAAAAAAAAATCAACCGATCAATCCGAAGAAGTCCTTCAAGCAGAAGAAAAATGGCCTCGGAAGATCGAAGTCTAGGACGGGAAATACGACTGTTAAAACCAGGAACTCACCGCAGCTGTGGTTGCCCTACACACACTTGCACAAGACTGGGCCCCTCAACATTTTATCAAGGGTGGAAGAGGTGCTCATGAGGCCCTGCCCCTTCTTGGGGGATTATGGGAAGGCAATGGTTGCTGAGGGAGGCAGAGTAATTCTCTTCAGTGGTGCAGCCACTAGTCAGTTGCCCGTGCATTCATAAAAGACCGTCCAACCCAGGCTCACCATAATTAAAGCAACCATAATTAAACTCAGTAGGTCTCTCACACACAAAAAGACATCAAAGTAGGAGGTAAAGTTGTTCCAAAGACAAGGCTTTCAGAAGAGAGAGAGGGAGAGGAGAGAGAACCATGGGGGTTAGAAATGACTAAAATTCATCACATACACAAAGACTAAAACAATCAGAAGAACTGGAAACAACCATACTTTTTCTCCTTTCTTTTCAGAGTGACTTAAAGGGTCATTTGAAGGACAAGAATTAACAATGTATTCTAAGATTTAAATATATATGTAGAAATCAGCTAGACAGTAGTGATTCACACCTTAATCTGGGAGGCAGAGGCAGGCAGATCTCTGAGTTCGAGGCTAGCCTGGTCTACACAGTGAGTTCCAGGACAGTCAAGGCTACACAGAGAAACTCTGTCTCGAAAAACAAAACAAAACGAGAGAGAGAGAGAGAGAGAGAGAGAGAGAGAGAGAGAGAGAGAGAGAGAGACAGAGACAGACAGAGACAGAGAGAGAGAGGCAGAGACAGAGACAGAGACAAAGAGACAGAGAGAGAGGAAAGAAAAGAAAAGAGAGAGAAAGTATTTTGGTGCTGGAGAGATGGCTCAGAGTTTAAGAAAGCATGTACTGCTCTTACAGAGGACCTGAGTTCGTTTCCCACCACTCATACTGGGTGGCTCACAACACCTATAATTCTAGTTCCAGGGGATCTAACACTTCTGACCTTCATGGGTATCCATACTCACATGCATTTACCCTCCTCCAGCTTCCATTGCATATACATAATTAAAAATACAACACATCTTTAAAAATATAGATTTTTTTTTCGTATTTTCTCACAGAAGCAAATTCAATTATAATACAACAAAACAATGTTTACATCTCTTTTAGGTACAGGGAGTAGTTTCCTAGGGGCAGACTCCTTCATTTTCATAGCATCTCCAGAGCATAGGACTGCCCTAATAGTTCAGTCATGCCACAAGAACAGTCTGTGGCCTGACCCCAGAACTGGTGTAGTGTTTGCCGAATGCAAATTTACTCAAAAAGATACCTAATACTTGGAGATTCACAGACGGTTATGGAAGGTGAACTAAGATCCCATGAGTCTGCGAATTCAGGCCAAGGTCCTGACCTTTGCACCAAATAGTTACTGATTGACATTTTCCTTCCAGGGCAAGTTTCACGGTGGCAGACAGACTGGAAGTAACAGTAAAATGCAAAAATGCAATGTTTTCCTGTTTTATTTCGCAACTTATTGCTGATAAGATAAAGTTGATCATTTCTTCCTGTCGTTGTTTCCTATGTTTAGCTCAGCTTGGAATCCTTGGCCCATATCATTGATTCATTTCCTCCTCATTATGTCAGATTTTTTAAAAAATCTACTTGTTAAAGCTCTCTTCATGGCCGGGCGGTGGTGGCGCACGCCTTTAGTCCCAGCACTCGGGAGGCAGAGCCAGGCGGATCTCTGTGAGTTCGAGGTCAGCCTGGGCTACCAAGTGAGTCCCAGGAAAGGCGCAAAGCTACACAGAGAAACCCTGTCTCGAAAAACCAAAAAAAAAAAAAAAAGCTCTCTTCATAATAAAAGTGTCATGTTACAAATACTTTTTCTACATATGCCTTTAAACTTTGCATTCTTATTTTTTTTTTCCTATTTTTCCAAGATTGTTTTTTTTCTGTGTAGCCTTGGCTGCCCTGGAACTCGCTGTGTAGACCAGGTTGGCCTTGAACTCACAGAGATCCACCTGCCTCTCTGCCCCTTGAGTGCAATCTCAGACCCAAAGAAGATGTACACCCTCACATATCTAAATATTAAATATAACTATTTTCTTCTCGGTGGCTTTCTCCCTTGTGCGTTTGTTTACGTGATCCTTCCTTCTTCTAAGTTAAATATACACCTTTCTGTTCTCTTGCTTTGTGTACGACAGGGGATGTGAGAAGAAAACGGGATCAGGACGTCTCAACAGGTGGACAACCTTTTGTTAAATGACGCCTAATCTAAAATTAGGAACCATTTCGAATGGATTAACGTTACAAAGACACAATTAATTCCAGAGCATGTGTTTTCACAGGTCTGGTTTCTTCCTACTTCGGGCGCAGTAATCTTTGGTTCTAAATCCCTTTACTTCATACTTCGTGGCTCATCTACCAACATGTCTCCGCTATTGGGAAGAACACCTCTTTTTCGTCGCTGGCACAGCTCTCCCTTGCCCCACCAGCGCCCCCCTCTGTCTCTGGGCCCAAGTTTACCCGAGCTAGACCCCTGCGGATCCTAGCTCTGTGTGCCAAGCTCCAGAGACCGGCTCACGTACCCAGGTGCAGGAGCTCCCGGGAGATAGCTTTTCCGATGCCCGTGGCTCCTCCGGTAACCACGGCCACTTGGTTCTGCAGCAAGCTGGGCGCTAGGCAGCTCTGATCCTTAGTCCAAGAGCCCATTGCAGCAGAGCGTCTGTCCCCAGGTTCTGGACAGAGACAGACCTTGGGCGCTCTAGAGGGAGCAGAGCAGTAGAGGCCTGCGCCCACGTGACTGAACAGACCACGCCCCCCGTGCCCGCGTGGTCCCGCCCAGGCCCCGCCTTCGCCGACGCGCTAGGCATCCTCCCAGAGCTGGACCGCTCCTGGCGGCCGCCGGCAGCCTTCTGCATCCTCAGCCTCCCTCCTGGGTCCCAGTGCACGTGTGGGTGAGACTCCTCGTTCGATTTTTTTCGTATTTATTTTTGAATTTCGATGACATTCGGGAAAAGGAGAGGGGAATGAAGAGAAAGAGAACGAGAAAGAAAAGAAATGGGAAGGATATTCTCTGTTCTGAGAATCCAATCCTGGGGCCATAGCTCCCACCGTTAATTAAAATTAAATCTCCAGGGCATCTGTGCAGAGAAAGGCTGCGGGTCTGGGCCCTCGCCGTGCCCTTCTGCAGCAGACGTCCGGCTGTCTGGGCTCCAGCTGCTGTGTGCGGGTGGCTAGGACGTGGGAAAGGCTTAGGTTGGCTGAGGGGAAGACAGACAAGACATCCAGGTCCCAGATCTCTTCATCGTCAGGGAGGGAGTGTAAGGGAGGGTGTGGGCCGGGAGAGGGCATACAGTTGCAGTTGTCTGCAAAGCCTAAATAATGAATGATTAAAATAATAATAAATTTAGGCCCACTCTCACCTCATTCTCTGTGCCCCACCCAGAAAGGAAAGGAAGAAGCACCCTTCCCTAGGTTTGAGAGCTGATCTGTTTCATCTGGGCTACACAGAGGCAAAAATGATGAGTCTTTGCGTGGTTCGTGATTCTTGCAAGATTCATCTCTAGATTTATGTTTGAGAGCCTGCCTTCTAGCTCATTCCTTCAGCTAAAAACTTCTCTGCTCCGAGTTGCTTCCAGGGACCCATTTATCACTCACATTCTATTTGTTTTTAATTAACTAATTATTGTTGTTGTTTTTCTTTCTTTCTTCTTCTTTTTTTTTTTTTTTTTTTTTGAGACAAGGTCTCTCTACATAGCCGTGGCTGTCTTGGAACTCTGTAGACTAGTCTGGCCTGGAACTCAGAGACCCACCTGCCTCTGCCTCTCCAGTGCTGGGATTAAAGGAGTGAGCCACCACGCCCGGCCCTTCCGTTTGTTCCTTAAAAAGTTAAAATTACGTTTATTTTGTGTGTGTGTGTAAAATGAGTGTGGCTGTCCGAAGACAAACTGTAGGAGTCAGTTCTCTCCTTGATTATGAGTCCCAGGAACTGAACGCAGGTCATTAAGCTTAGCAGCAAACACCTTGACTCTCTTAGCCGTGCCCACTCTCTGCTTCCTAGTTTTGCCTTGTGAACTTGGCAGACGTAGGGACTGTGTTAGGTCATGGGTCTTACTCCAGGAACAATGGCATTTCTAAGTTTGCTGGGGTGTCCTGTTCTCCCTTTCCAGGTAATAAGCCAACAAATGCCATTTGTGTGTGTTTTGGGAGGTGGGGGCTGGAGCCACTACTTAAAACTCACAAAAAGAGCCGGGCGGTGGTGGTGCATGCCTTTAATCCCAGCACTGGAGAGGCAGAGCCAGGCGGATCTCTGTGAGTTCGAGGCCAGCCTGGGCTACAGAGTGAGTTCCAGGAAAGGCGCAAAGCTACACAGAGAAACCCTGTCAATACAAAACAAAACAAAACAAAACCTCACAAAAAGAATTAAGAGTAGAATTGGACATCACTTCTCTCGAACAGCAAGACTGCAGTCCTGGGAGAGCTTAGTCTCCTCCTTGTTCCTCCACCTCCCTGCCCTTCTCTGGCCTGTTTTTAGGAGCACTTCCTTCTCTGACTTAGCTGCTGATAGATCCTAACCAACAGACATGAAGGAAGTACTAAAGCTCTCTGGCTATCTTTGTCTGGGTAGTTGATCAAGAGCTCCATCATCATTATGTCAGCTGTGCTTAGGAACACATTAAAAAACTAGAACCGCTTTTTAAAAATGAAATTTGTGTGTGTGTGTGTGTGTGTGTGTGTTCCTGTGAAAGCCACAGGAGGATGTCAAATGCCCTTCTCCATCATTCTCAACCTTCCCTTGAGACAGGATCTCTCACTAAACCAGGAGCTTGCCCCCTTTTAGTTGATGGGGGCCACAGCAGTCCTCCTGTCTCTGTCCAGCACCCCCTCACCCTGGGCTTACAAGCCAAGGTTCTGGGAATCTGACTCAGCTCTTCACGATGGCATAGAAATCAGAACCTTTAGTTGCTGAGCCATCTCCACAGTCCCCTAAAAATAAGTTTAAGTAGAAATGTTGAAGAATTGTTTCAGAAAAATATGCTTTCCAGTTCTCCAATCCCAGTGACAAAGTGATACATGCTGTTTGTTCTTCGGCCACGTTGAAGATCCAACCACGGAGCTTGCACAAGCGTTCCTCCGTGGAACTAACCCCTCCCCCTCCCGATATGCCTTTTAACAGAGAAGAGAACTAGTGAGTGCGGCCACTGAGCAGACTGAGACAGGGGTCAGGTGAGAAGGTGCCTGGGGGATATGAGGCAGTTGTGTCCAATGGGGATGACAAGGTGCCATCTGTCATCTGCAAGGCTACTGCAGGCCGAGCAAAGTTTTCTCCCTCAATTCCCATAAAACCTGTGATTCAGAAGTGTGGGATCTCTCCCAGGGCTCCTTTGTTTAGAATAAGGAGGTACGTTCTCTTTGTCTCTGCCTCTGCTCGCCCCTGAAAGTCAGCACACACCCGGCAATTTCACTTGGAAGCCCTTTGTTTTCAGATGTGTAATTCTGGCCCCTTCACGAGCCATCCCCCTCCGGAGACCACCACCATGCCGCTTTGGTGACTCCTTTGGTCGAATCTGGCATTGCTCTCCTGTGCCTCTGCATCACTTGCCCCCCTTTGTCCTGGCTGGGCTGTCGCCAGGATCCATCCACACAGCTCCCGTGCTGTCACATCCCATTAGCGGTACCTTCCTTTCTCCTCTGAGATGCTTCTGCTGCTCACTCAGCTCCCCCTCCCCTCCCCCACCCCATCTTCCTGGTTAACATCATTTTCTCTCTCCCCCCCACCCTCTGCGAAGCAGCTGCTGGCTCAGGGTGGCGGGTGCTTGTGGGGGGCGGGTCTCAACATGCAGATTCACAGAATAGAGGCACTGCAGGAATACCAGTAAGGCCTCTAACTCTGCCCCGGCCTCAAAGCAAGAGCCCTCTAAGACTGCTCACATATGAGTCTTCAGTCAGTGCTTATTGAGCACTTGTGTGCCAGGCACTGCTCTAGGCATGGGGAATGGAGCGCAGTCAATAGGGTGGTTGGGTTTCCCTGTTCTTGTTCAGCCTTATGTAGGAATGGGGGCTCAGATTGGGGTGGGGTGGGAGAAGTACTCACCACAATAGCCAAATAAAAGTCACTCTTCATTCCTTCATTTTTTTAATTAATTTTTTTCGTTTATTTTACATATCGACCACAGTTTCCCCTCCCTCCTCTCCTCCCATTCCCTTCCCCCACCTCCCGCCTACACCCCCCCCCCCCCATCCACTCCTCATCTCCATCCAGAAAGGGGCAGACCTCCCATGGGAATCACCACAGCTTGGCACATCAAGTTGAGGCAGGACCAGGCTCCTTCCTCCGCATCAAGGTTGGGCAAGGCAACCCAGCTTGGGGGATTGGGTCCTCAAAGCCAGCTCAAGAGCTGATCAGGTCCTGGTCCCACTGCTAGGAGCCCCACAAACAGACCAAGGTCCACAACTGTCACACGCATACAGAGGGCCTAGGTCAGTCCCTGGCTGGCGGTCCAGAGTCGGCGAGCTCCCGTGAGTTCAGGTCAACTGTCTCTGTAGGTTCCCCTGTCATGACCTTGACTCCCCTTCAATCTTCAGTTATTACAGTAAGGAGGGTACAAGGTCTTCATAAACAACTGCCTCTGCTACCAGGAACTGTTTTCTTTGTAGACAGGTGGTGCTGAATCAGCCTTGGTGTTGTTTGTTTTCTCCTTCCGAGGGATTGAACCTCTAGCCTTATGTATACGGGGCAAAATGGCCTTATGTATAAGCAGCTCGCACTCTCCCACTGAGCAATATTTCCAGCCCTCTTAAACTTTTATCTTGAGAAAGGGCTTTACTTAGTTGCCCAGGGTGCCCTTGACCTCACTCTGTTACTCAGGCAAGCATTGAACCTGCAATCCTCCTGCCTTAGCCTCCAGAGTAGCTGAGGGTACAGGCCCACACCACCAGCCTGGGCTACTGAATTCTTTAGTTTTCCATCCCAAAATCCAATGAATGGGACAGGTTGCTGGGGAAGGAAAACATTCATTTGGAAAAAGGAGCAAACCAAGGAGATGGCAGGGAGCTGCCACCCTTTAAGGGTCATCATAGGAACCTAGAGGCTCCAAGGCCTTTATAGGAAAGCGAAGAAGGAACAGGCGGGCACTGGGCAGCGAGACAACGTGCTGAGCTGAGCCTTAATCACCTGCAGACTGGATTTTCTTTCCTCTTCTGCTGTCATAATCCTGAGTTAACACTGGCTTTCATCCATGCTTCTGGTGAACCCGTTCTCTTTCTACAAGTTAAACATTTAACTTTGGGGCCTGGAGAGATGACTCTGGAGTTGAGAGCACTTCTTCATCTCCAACAGGACCCCAGTTCGGTTCCCAGAACCCATCCTAGGAAGCTCGTAGCCACTGGAACTCCAGTCTTACGGGATCTGATGCCCTCTTTTGGCTTCTATGGGAGCCTACATGCATGCACATGTGCATACTCATACACACACATATACACACACATAAAAATCAAGTCTGTGTTGTGTGTATGTGTATATGTGAATGTGTGCAAGTGTGTGGAGGCAGGAAGACAATGTAGAATGTCATTCTTCAGGAGCCATCAACCTTGTTTTTTTGAGACAAGGTCTCTCACTGGTCTGGGACTTATCGAGTAGATGAGGTTGGCGAACCAGGAATCCCCAAACCTGCCTATCTCTATCTCCCCAGTGTTGGGATTATAACAGCATCTGTGCCACCACCCCTGGCTTCCTGGGACTTGAACTCAGATCCTCAGGCTCATTTCACCGATGGAGCTAGTTCTTTATTCTGTTGCTTAACTATTTTTGTTTTTGTTTTCT